GTGGGGAAAACAGAAAACAAACAGTGCATTAGTGTGAACTTAGAACTGACGAACATTTCAAAGAAAAGAATAAAGTGGGCCAGGGAAGAGGGAAGAGGGCAATGCAATTTTAAGTCGGTCACTCAGGTACTCAGGAAGGACACTAGGACATTAATCTCCATATCAGTGTCAGTCCAAGTATTCAAAAGGCAGAAGCAACATGGATACCCAGAAATGGATGAATAGATGAACAAATCATGCTATATATGCCTAGTGGAACATTAGCTATCCATTAAAAAGAATGATGTACTGATCCATGCTCACTATGGAGGAACCTTGAAACTATCATGCTTAGTGAAAGAAACTAGACACAAAAGGATATATCATGTGACTGTGTTGATATGAAATATTCAGACTGGGCAAATACACAGAGACAGAGAGAGGGTTAGTGGTTATCTAGGACAGTGAAGAGGGAGGGATGGGGAGTGACTTTTACAGGTTTAGTTTGGGGGTGATGAAGATATTTTACAACTAGACAGTACTGTAAAAGTACTGTCATTGGGCTGAGCACTTTAAAATTGTTCATTTCACATGTAAATCAGCTTCAAGAATCAGAAGAAAAAAAATGAAAATTGAAGAGTCAGAAAATTAGGGCTGGAGAGATGGATCAGCATGTGGCATCCTATTAGTGGACCATGAAGCATGTTGATTTTTCCGTTGGTGAAGTGTAGGGGCACTCACAGGCCTGGATCCTTTGACTTCAGTTCTTAGGGGTTCTCTGGAGCCTCTGCATTCCAAATAGATTGATGAGAGGCTGAAGAGGAAGCATAACGGTGAATCAGAAACCGTCATTAAAACCAAGTACAAGATGATGGTGGCACCGATGAGAAAAGGGAAACTGGGAGGTGGGAGAAACCATTGCAGATGGATGGACTTCATGGGTAGAATAGATGGCTCATCCCGACAGCTCGACCATCTCTCAGACATGTAGAGACACGTTGGTCATGCATGGGGAATTTTGTTTTAAAATGATAATGGTGTTCCTTTACTGACACGGGAAAGGCTGGAGAAGTCAGCTTTCACCCTGGGCAGGAGAAGGAAAGGGTCCAGATGACATCCAGCACTGCAGTCTGCAGGTACAAAGTCTTTTCTCATTCCAGTTAGTTCCTCTGATGTGTGGAGGGAAGTGGGAAGGAAGGCGGGTGGCAGGAAAACCAGAGCTTGAATGATCCAGGAGTTTAGGTGAATCAAGGATCCAGGGGAAAAGGTGTGTTGCCCATGGTGACAGTCAATAGAGCTAATCCAGGTGACCCAACAGTTATAAGCTCCGTTCCTGATTGCTGACAGCACCACACACATTTTCATTAGAAAAAAAGAAAAGATGTGGGGGGAGGATAATCTTGTTGTGATGGAATTCTTGAGAATTATTGAACTACTTAAATCATATGTATTTATTGTGACTAAAATTTCCTGGCTGTTAAGGTGGATTTACATAAGATCAGCGTACAGGTAAATAGCTCAATAGTATCACAACATCTGTAGTTTATGTTTAGATGTATCATGGGCCAAGTTACATTAATAGACTTTGCAAAATTTCTTCTGTTACAAAATATTTCAGTGCCATGGTCCACACGGGAAGAACTGGCTGCTTTCTGGGCAATATCAGAGTTATTTGACTTAATTTACTTTTTAGTGGAAATTTCAGAGAGGAAGATTATAAATAGGCACATAGAAGGTCTCAAAACTGTAACCCCAAATTGAGGGAATGAGGGAAAAATTGATTAGATTTCATTAGATTGATTTTGAAAACAAAGTGGTTAGAAGTCTTAGTAAGCGGGAGTATTCCAGAGAAATAGGAGGCAGACACTGGAAGGATTCAGACTGACTTAGGTGCTTTGAATTCCCTGTCTGATTTCTTGATTGTAAGCCATCTTTTTTCACATTTGCCTCAAATTACCACAAACGGCTGTATTCTGTGTCTGTGTACCAAAATGGTTTAGTGCTTCTTAAAGAACTTTAAGGGAAATTAGCTTGTTTTGTTTATAACTCAGTCTCAGTGATAAGAAGGAAGGGTTTTGTTGTTGTTGCTGTTGTTGTTTTCCAGATAGGGTCTCACTATGTGACCCTGACTGGCCTGAAACTTGTTATGTAGACCAAGTTGGCCTCTAAGTACAGAGATCCTTCTGCCTCTGCTTCCCAAGGGCTAGGATTAATGGCATGATCCTCCACACTCAGCAAGAAGGTAAGTTTTTGCTACCATAGTTTCTCTCTTTTCTAGCTGACATGAAGAAAAAGAAAATAATGTGGCTTTGAGGTTCAACAAGATTGGTTTTAACCTGATCCACAACTGAGCAATCTTGGTTAAATTACTGAACCCGACTTATCTCTGAGTTTTTATTTTAATCCGCAAAACTTGAATGATGCTGATAAGTACCATATAATGTAGTCTTGTATTTCATTTTTAAACTTTTATCAACTGACGATATTGTATTTTTAACAAAAAGACTGAACTGCCAAATGGCTAACTAAATTGCTTTATAATCACAGTTAGATGTTATCAAACCCTTCTGAAGTTTTGTGATTATTGTGTCAAATTCAGAGAGCCATCTTATTTTTAAATGATGAAGCCAAATGTACATGAAAAGCAGTTTATTTAAAAATTGTCAAAATTTTGACAGAACTTTAAAAGCTATTTCAGGAACCTGGTGTGGTGGCACATTTGTAACTCTGCCACTCAGGAGGTAAAAGCAGAAAGGACAGTTCAAAGGCATTTTTGGTTTGGTGCCAGCCTGGGTTACAGGAGACTGTCTCAAAAAGCAAAACAAGGACTGGCGAGATGGCTTGGTGGTTAGGAGCACTGGCTGCTCTTGCAGAGGATGTGGGGTTCCATTTCCAGCACCCACAAGGCAGCTAACAACCATCTGTAACACCAATTCCAGGGGATCTGTTGCCCTCTTCTGGCCTCTGTGGGCATTGCATGCATGTGTACACTAAAATTCAGGCAAAACACTCAGACATATAAAATAAAATAAAATTTAAAAACAAACCAACAAATAAGACGATGCTTTAATTAGAAGAAGTTTTGATAATAAGAATCAAAACTAGTAAGAAGCAGGCCTAATTCCTCGAATTTCCACCAGACATCTTAGTCATTCTTCTAGACAGCAAAAGACTTGCTGGGTTTGTCACTAGCATCCAAGGGCTGACTAAGCTCCTGGGCAGTGAAGAGATGTCAAGCGCCATCCGGGCACCGTGGGCAACAAAGATGCTGTAGGAAACTGACTGGAGTTATGCACTTAGCTTTGACAGCATCTTTGTCCTTGCGTGATTAGTTTAATTTTTGGAGCCAGCCTGCTTCAGTTCAAGTTCTCAGTGCTGTGGAACTTGGGCTCCTTGCTTGAGATCTGTGCCTCAGTATCCTTATCTACAGTGGCGATAAGGATAACAGTGGGGCATTGGGTTATTTTGAAAATGAGGTGGTTGATATAGGCAAGTCAAATAGAGCTGCATAAGGCAAAGAGGAAGTTCTGCATCAAGAGCAGTATTCATGGTCTATCAGTGTGCTGGCCTGGAGCTAGTTCCCCAAACCCTCCTGTAAGTGAACACTTTAAAGTACGCCCAAAATCTGAGATGATGGACTCCTTGAAAAAATTTGCTTAGTTTTCATCCCAGTGGAGAGCCCTAAAGAGATTGAAATCTAAGGAGGTGGACCACGCTTTGGGGGCAATCCTTAGTCATACTATCACTGAATATTTCTAAGTACCCATGAAGTCCACTTAGCTCTCAAGGCACATTCCCTACCTGTGCTGGTTTTCCATATCATAAAAGGTAACTGCCCTCCCAAATCCTGTCAGCTAAATGTGGTGTCAGGGAAGGACAGCCTAAGGGTTCTGTGATTTGAAGGTCTGGAACTGAAAGCATTATATCATCAGGGGATAAACAGCTAGCATCATTTATCATCACTGGAACAACTGTTTTAACAGAGGAATGAGTTAAGTAGTTCCTCTAAAAGGGATTAATTATAATGTTATCCTTATGCTTAAATATTTATGTGGCAAGTTCAAGAATTCTTAGTACTTGATCCGTCAGTATTTTTTAACAAGTCACAGATTTTGGCTGAAACTCAAATTTCATGGTGGGTGGAGTGATAAGTTTCAGGATGTCTTTGGGGGTTTAAAATGACAGGGAGTGTGCCCACATGAGTAGTCTACAGGGAGGACGGAGCTACAAAGGCCAGGAACACGTCTCAGGTCACTGACTGAGTTTATTGTTATCAGTCTTTCTCTTGGGGTAAGAACCAGTCATTATCTGAACTTTGTAATAAGAGAACTCTCCGTAATTCAAGGAACTGTTCCTTGAACATGTTAAGGATTGTTATATTTATTCCTACCTATATGAATTTCTAAATTCTTCCCCTGATATTTGAAGGGAAAAGGTATGCTAATAGTTTCTTTCTTTGGCAGGAAAAAGAAAAGAATTTAATTACTGTTCACAGATCTTCAGCTATTCTTAGAGGAACCTCGATGACTCTTGGAGACGAGGTGAGGCAGGGACAATTCTTTGAAAGCTTGGCATACAGTCTCAAAGTGTTACTTGAGTAATGTTCCCATTTTTCTTTCCTTAGTTGCTTTGTGATGGTTATTTGTATGTGTGCAGGATCGTGAGAGAACATAGACATGTGCATGCTGCCTCCAGCCTTCTGAATGGTTGTGGTTTTATATCGTGTTTTCTAGTATTTACTGAATTTCATGGTTCTAATGTATTCAAACATAAAAATTCATTTTCTTTCCTTTTAACTTAGCTTCTTTGAAAACATTCTCAAATGACTGCTAAAATGTAACTGTGAAATAGTATCGTGAGGCTTGTTTGGTTCCAAATTTAGTAGGAGTAAATACAATACTGTGTATATGAAACCTGCTATTAGGCACAAGTGTACTTAATGAATATGTGTTAATTGAGTGATTCTCCTATATGGTCTTGAATAAGTAAAAAATCAGGATGAAATAATTTGTTTTGTGGTTTTATATGACTTACTTTACAGTATCACCATTGACCTCACCTCCTGGCTGTGTAAGTCAGGCAGTACTCATCAACACCTAGTCGGCACACCTCTACCACCCTGTGTTGCTGATCTATCAGAGTGACCTCAGCAATCAATCACCAACACATGATTCGTAAGCGTAGGATGGAGCTTTGGACCTTGGTAATTCTGACAGTTCCCATGAGTTTCACAGCAGTGGAGAGTAAGTACTGCTTTTCAGCTCAGGTTTAAGTTTTTAAGTTCATTCCGGGAACATTTTGCCTCATTTTCAGTAGTTTGCTTCCAGCTGCAGCAGTTGAATTGTAGGCTGGAAAATTCTTTTCCTTTTTCATATTCAGTGATTCTTTATCGTAAGTCTCTGAGAAGGAATTATCCATAGCATACGGATCATAGTTTTAGAGATATGTCCATCAAGATTGATCACAGTGCCTACATGTGAGAGACATTATAGACTTTTGTTGACCAGCATTTAATTTGTTCAGATAGACACAACTGCTTGCCCTTGGAGCAATGTGAGAGATTAGCTCAAATTGATTTCTTAGTCTGCTGCACCAAGTAGAACATTTCAAAAAAGACTTTGTTTACTTATTCTTTCTTAAATATACAATATATGGTCCATTTTCAAGTTTAATCCTATGTGGAAGGATTGGTTTTCTCATTTGCTTAATTCAGAATCATAGTCATACTTTTTATTTGCAGGTAAACCATCCTGGGGCCTGGAAAATGAGGCTTTAATTGTGAGATGCCCCAAAAAAGGAGGGTCCATTTACCCTGTGGAATGGTATTACTCCAATTCAAATGAAAGTATTCCTACTGAAAAAAGAAATCGGATCTTTGTCTCAAAAGATCATCTAAAGTTTCTGCCAGCCAGAGTGGATGATTCTGGGATTTATGCTTGCATTATCAGAAGGTATTGTCTAGGTGACGTCACAGTCTTTGAGTCTGCTTCCCTTTAGTAATGGTTGGCAGTCTGCCCTACTCCTTTCTGGAATGTATAAAATGATTTGAATAAAAGTCTTTCTAGCACTGCCATCAGGTTGAAGGGTGATGGAATATTTGGAGATACAATCGCAAGGAATATATGTTAATAATTGGCATCCTGATTAGAAAAATGCCTAGCTTTCCAGTAACCCAAACAACAAAGAATAATTTCTTATTTTTTGGCTGGGAATAAGTACAACCAGAATATCAAACAGGAAAACAGTAGCATGAACACTTGGTGTCACAGAGGTCAGTGCTAGATGAAAAGATGCAGATACCACAGCCAGAGACACAGAAGTAAACTGCAGAGAAATGTGCTATGTCTTCAGATCACTTGGTCTGCAATAAAACTGTAGCATGTTTTGATTTCATGTGTATTTGGAACCTACAAAGTGTCCGGTAAGTAAAAGGCAGGACTAGGTAGAGTTCAGTGGCTAGATTTTGGAACTGCAGTTCAAATTCTTGACCTTCCACTAGTTAGCTGTATGTTACCAACAGGTTACTTCACTGCCTCTCAGTTCCTAGCTGTACCTACAGTGGCACGATTACCACCCAAAGCATTTCTATAAGGATAAAATGAGGTAATACATGAAAAGTAAGCACATCAGAACTTACCAGTACATGGTAAACCTTCAGCAAATATTAAGAGATATTTATTCAGGTCGGGATCCTGACACTACAGCACATATAATGCTCAATGAAATGGTGAGGAAATAATTTTTAGGAGTTTGCTGTATCTCAAGGGTAATAAAAGAAACAATTGAAACTTGGTATTTTAATGATTACTTTGCAGTAAGAACCACTATATATAATTTTTTAAGGAAGGAAAGCAACATTGTGTGAGGAGTAGAGTTGGATTATGATATATCATCATAATAAATATCTCTTTTTTGAATGCATGGCTTATTTTAATAGTCCCAACTGGAATAAGACTGGATATGTGAATGTCACCATACATAAAAAGCAACCAGACTGCAACATTCCAGATTATTTGATGTATTCAACAGTAGCTGGATCAGAAAAAAATTCCAAGATATCTTGTCCGACAATTGACCTCTATAATTGGACAGCCCCTCCTGAGTGGTTTAAGGTAAAAGGAAGTTGGGAGGAGGAAAAGATTGTACAATTGCCATAGAAAAAAGAGAAATCTCACAGAAAGGGGAATGGATTTTTTTTTTTTTCAGAATTGCAAAGCACTTCAAGGGTCAAGATACAGGACACACAAGTCATATTTGTTCATTGACAATGTGAGGCATGATGATGCAGGCGACTACACGTGTAAATTTACACACACTGAAAATGGAACCAGTTATAATGTGACTGCAACCAGATCATTCACAGTTAAAGGTAAGCTCCTAGCTCTAACAAAGTAGATTTAAAGGAAGACGGAGTGGGAGAACTGTGAGCTTCCAGGCATATTTCCTACACCCCATACACCTCTGTTCCCCCGCCTCCCTCATCTTCCACATTCTCTACTACGACAGGTAATTTCTGATGCACCATCAAGGTCTAAGAATTTCAGGGAAAGACATTGCATTACTGATCCAAAGTTAAATCTATTCTTTCTTCTGTGACTTATTTTTTCAAGGATAAAAGCATCTGAATGCTAACAGAATTTACTTTTTTGGAGTGGCAATATAATAATCTGCCAGTGATTGGTTCCAGAATGCTCATATACCAAAATGCTGGATGACTGAGTCTCATATATTTACACAGAAGCTACTCATCTCTTCCCACATGCTTTAACTCACCTTTGGATGGCTTGGAACAACTGGTTCAATGTATATGCTACATAAATAGTTCCATTTTATTGTTTAAGAAATACTGACAAGAAAAGGTCTGCATAATAATCAGCACAGGAGCAACTGTCCCATGTTTTCCATCCATAGTTGGTTGAATTTGTAGATGGAGAAGCCACAAAAATAAAGGCCTGAGTGTAATGGGATAGAATGTCGTGTATAGACACTGTTGAGTGGTTTCAGTCCTGTTTTACAATACTTTTGGCATCACCAGTGTCTTCAAGCAGGTCATTATCTGGAAAAGAACTTTTTCTAAATATATTTTAAGTATTATAGAAGACATTTTAGGAGAAAGACTTCCTAATCATAGTTTATAAAGTTTGCAGAATTGGGGTCTTTTTAGCACAGCTTCCTCTATAGATGCCGATAGGTGGCGCTTTTCCACATAGCAGCTTTCTTTCTTTCTTCTCTTTCTTTCTTTCTTTCTTTTTTGATGTCTTATCTTTTTTAAAATAAATGAGAATTTCATACATGCATATAAGTGTTTTGATCAAATCCATTCCCGCTCCCTCCCCTCCAACTCTTCCCATATCTCCCATCACTTTTTTCTGACAACTTTATGTACTTGTTCTTCTTCTTTGATTTATTATTTTTTTATGGGGCTTTTGGCTACTCTAACATTACCCCCTCTGAAGAGGTAACCCTAAAATCTCTTAAGGATTAGATAAGAAACTCCCAAATATTTTTGATATTTTTGGCCTTTGGAACGGAGGCCAAGGACATTGTGAGTTTTAGCCAAGAAACTGGCTATTTTTCTTTGGGTTCTTTTTACCCTAATTGCCTAGTGAATTGCTACCTCCTATTCTTATCACACCATCCTCTGAAGAGGTTACCTAATAGGGAATCTGGATGCAGACCACTCTGGCTTCTTCCATGCTGAACAGGGACGCAGGATGAGGCAATCAGAGTACCCCTTCAGTGGGTCTATATAGAAGACTCCCAAATTGCATAACTCTTATCTCGAGGAGGAAAAGAAAGTCTTTGAATCGTGAATAGGAGATGTGAAGGAGAAGTAAAGGCAAGAGTAATTAGCATTACAAGGTCTAGACAGGGAACTAGAAAGAAGTCAGAATAGGGCAATTTTCAAATGCTCATATGAGAGTCCATTGGAATTCTTGACAAGGCTTCCAAAAGCATCCTTCTATTGGGTTCCTCCTCATGTTTCTTTTCTTGGAAAGGCTGGAATCAAGAGTGATGTATTCAGGACTTGCTGTCAGGTATTTCGATAGCTGTTGGAGTTAGAATCAGTGTCAGTTCCCTCTCAAAGGCTTCTAGATAGGGGGAGAAAACAAATGAATTCATCATTTTAGAACCATTTTAGAACAATAGCTGGTTGTCTCTCTTAGCTACAGGTGGGCACTACAGTATTGGAGACCAAGATTTGAAGTCTTACATCTGAGCAGCACTTTCTGGTTAGGAACAAAATCATCAATGAGAAATAATTGTCTAAATAGCTTTTTATATAGACTTAAGCCTAATGTCTGGGAAGTGTAATCCCTTGAACTCTTAAAGAAATATACTGATGACTTTATTCTTTGGTTATACTTTCCTTTTGGGTATTTAAGACCATACAGTTGGCCCAAATAAATCAATTTATTTTTACACTTAAGGTCATTTGAGGATCTGTTCCTCAAGGTCACATGGGCTTGGGGGGAGCTCCTGACTCCTTTCTTTAACCAGTTCCATCTATGTGATGATAAGTCAAAGGTCCTGCTCGACCACGTCTGGCTTCGCTTGGAAGCATGAATGAGATGTTCCTCTGAGTTGACACTCCTCTTTGTAGACTAGCAGCTTTCTTAGGACTAAGCAGCGGTGTAGAAAAGATTTTGTTTAGAGATTTTCAATACTTTATTGCTATCTGTGTCTCTCAGTGTCTACCACCAACCTCTGCAATGATTCTCAATCACACCACCTTGAGATAAATGAGTACCCAGGGGTGGAGGAGCAGCTGTGCTCCGGACCTGTCTTCTTCCCCACTCTCTGCCTCAGTGGTCATGGGAAGGAGTAAAAAGAAGATGGACACTGCAGTGGAGAACTGTGAACAGTCCACTTGGGGGCTCATAAATGCACCACTTTCATGAGACCATTGACGTTTTCTTCTCTGTAATTTTATGCTTATTCTGGAGAACTGTAGTTTTCAAACAATTGTTAGGTGACATAATTAATTTAGTGGGTTAGGCCAGTATTTGTTTTAATGATAGAGACAAGAATAGAAGATATCAAAAAGTATCATATAATCAGAAAATGTGTTGCTTACAATGTTTTTGCTTCATTTATGTATATCACCAAAGGTTATTTTCAGAAAAGCTGAATATTAACAATCCTTCAATACTTTCTTAATTCTTATATTTTCTACTTTTGTTTTAATTTTAAGATAATCCAGGCTTTTCTACATTTCCAGTAATTACAGCGCCCCCACCCAATGAAACAAAGGAAGTGGAAATTGGTAAGAAAAATTTAACAGTGCTTTGTTACCTGGAAAATTCTTCATGACTCCTGGTCCGATTTCCTATAGAAAGGTCCGATACTTAGTATAGGAAACCTTGGGGATTATGTGAGACAACAGCATGGAAACATCTGCCCCAGGTGCTTGCTAGCATTGGGAACCCAGTCACAGCTATACAAGGCACTGAGTTTGTATTGAGCTTAGAATCCATGTTTCTCTCGTGTAAGCATCTCCTTTCATCATCACATCTATCCAAGAGGTTGGCACTGTCTTCACTTTACTTTTGAAGAAGAAACTTAAACTCAGAAATGCTCAATGGCATCCCAAAGGTCACGAATGAGTAACAGATAAATAAAACGAAAAAACAAGAATCCAGACTTCTGGCTCTTTACATTTCTGTTCCTCCGGGTTTATACTAGAAATGGGATAGCGTGAAAAGGATTCAGCATGCAAAACAAACATCACTATGACCATGATGAGTCACACATACTGCATCACCTCTCTGTAGCGTGTAAGCACCATGCTCCCAGCCTCACGGAACCACTCTCTGATGAGCAGTGGTATCCACATTCTTCCCTGCTTTGCCCACATCCTTTCTTCTTGTGTCTCAAGAGAAACCTCATTTGTATAAACCTCATTTGTATATCACCTCCTCTGTATAATCTTCCCAAACCACCCTCTTTCCTGCCAACATCAGTTCAGATCCAGGGTATTGCCATTCCCATCTGTAGTGTGACAGCCTCTGATCCTTTCCCCATCGCCTGGCCACCTACAGAGACTCTCTGCCTCTCACTTGCCTGATTCCTAACTGAGCTTCTAGAGTTCAGGAAGGGAGGGTTAAGCACATCCATCAGCCTTGATGTTTTCACTTCTGAAAGGACTTCTCCAGTTGAAGGAAGAGAGAGCTCTTTTTCTGAAAACGTAAATGGAGGATAAGAGCTGGATTGGGTACAACAGTTTTGTCTCCAAAGGTAGCTTATGGAGAGATGAGGGGCATTCTATAAGAGGGAACAGGCCAGTTAAAAAAGTAACAGGAAATCTTACATGATTATATAAAACTATGAAGTGGGAGTCATATGCAAGTTTAGTTTTCACTGAGGTAAAGGATTGGTAAGAGCTACCTTCAACTTAACTGTGAGAGGAGTGGAGACACTGAGGGGAGAACAAAGAAAGCACGGGAAAGCCAGGAGAGAGGGAATCAGGCAGATCTGCAGGAGAGGTATTCCAGGAGTGTTTAGAAATTGAATGCCACTTGCAGAATTTGTTTACTGGTGAATTTGTTTGCTTGCCATCTAGGAAAAACAGTCAACATCACCTGCTCAGCTTGCTTCGGAAAAGGTTCTCAATTCTTGGCTGAGGTCCTGTGGCAGATTAACAAAAACAAAGTTAGGGACTATGGTGAAGCAAGAATTCAAGAGGAAGAAGGGCAAAATCACAGGTATTTTTATATTAAAGCTGAAACGTCTCTTTTCCTCTCCTCACAGCTGGCACTTTCCAGGGAAACATTAACAGTAAGGTGTTGCTTTCTCAGCTCCAGCAATGACCTGACTTGTGTAGATTCGGTTCTAAGAATAACTGGTGTGAAGGAGGAGGATCTGTCTCTGAACTATGACTGCGTGGCCCTGAACTTGCATGGCATAAGAAGGCACACCTTAACACTGAGGAGGAAAAGGCCAAGTAAGGAGTGTTCCTCCTACTTTCATCACCCGAACCAGCTGAATCAACTGTAAACTGGAATAGTTTTCTTAGAGGACTGTGTGTTGCAGTTTGATCTCACAGGATCCATTATGACCATGGAAATGGGTGGCCAGGCTCATGACCTGTGCTCTGGAGGATGCTATTTGAAATCTGGTCTCTTTGGATGTTTTCCCTTGCTTGGAGGACTCTACTGCTCTATTCCTCCTCTCCATGCACCTCCTCCTCTTCTTTGTTCTCCTCTTTTTCTTCCTCCCTCCTCTCTCTTTCCCTCCTCTCTAGGTCTCTTTTATCTTTCAATGGATCCCTCAGCCACCCTTTCTTTGCACGGGCCACAAAGGCAATTGGTGCCAAACTGGATTCAAAAGAGTTATCAAACTGTTGTGTTTCTTTGTGCAATCCTGTCATGGAAAATAGCTTTATAAGCATTTCATTCCAGAGCACTTGATTAGTGTTTGATTTTACAGGTAGGTAGAGTAATCAATCCCATTAGTTAAATGAAGCATTTGATCCCATTTTAAAAGGAGGGAAGAGAGAGAGAGAGAGAGAGAGAGAGAGAGAGAGAGAGAGAGAGAGAGACTTTAAGCTCATACTGACATGTGGGTCAGGGGCCAAATTCATTTGTATGAACACACTGGTGGAAAGGATGGGTGTGGGGAAACCAGTTTGATATAGTCATGGTCCAGGTCTCTGCCTGATGTGGTATTTGGGATTTTTAATTTTTATTCTAACCTCTAATTTTGTAAGTTTTTAGAAAACAGAGTTGTGACTCACATAGATTATTTAAGTACTGCTATGCTTGGTAGGAGATCGGGCTTATGCCAGTGATAACTGTGCTACCCCAGGACTGCCCATGGACCACAGCACAATGTTATGGGATGGCAGAGGACACAGTGGATCAGAGTTATATTTGTATCACCTGATTTTTTTAATTTGTTGTTTGTATGTCATTGTACTTTCTAGCTTATTTTTTATTTCATTTGTTATTGTTCAAATCAATGTGTTTATATTGTTTCAACAACTCAGTGCTTTAAACAAAAATTATCTCTATTGCTGTTGAATTGTCATAATGAATTCTTTGATTTCTGAAATTCTGATATTTCTTAAACTTACTTAAGAAACAATAATTTAAAAGGCCTATGTCTGCATATCACTGAGCATTATTAAGTGTGCATTTGAGGCTTAAGAAAATAATACTGCATATACATATTCATTGTTTTCTGTGTCTAGGCCTGATCTAATTATTTTACATTAAAATTTCTCATTATCTTCTCAATGCACCAGAGAGAGACTATTACTTTCACTTAATAGGTAGGACAAAGGCAAAGAAAGCTGGATGGCTTGCTGAGTGCTGTAGTTCTAGACTGGAATTGAAACACCGGCAGTATTTTCTTATTTATAAACACTTAAAGGAAGCACTTGTGTCTAGCCATTGCGGACAAAATTTACTTATGCATTTATAAAATACTGATACTCAGGTAGATATTAAACCTCCTCAGCTTTTCACAATATATCAAATCAACATCTTGGCTCTAGTTATTTCACAACAATCCCCACAACAATTAGTTTCCTTGCGTGCACCCGACTGAAACTTTCAGACTATCACTTCAAATGAGTTACATGGAAAGTTCTTACCATCGAAACCCATGGCAATGCAGGCAGGAAGCTATGGCCAATTTTTAGTTCTTTCCCCTAGCTTTGGATCACTGCCACTTGACACTTCTTGAGTTTATAGTGCTGGGTGTAGAGAGATGAAGGAATTTGCGAATACTACCAGGGCTTTTCAACATCAGATCTTAGTGCCTGTGCTTGGACATTTAAGACTAAAATGAGAAAGAATCCAGAGAGATGAAGGAATTTGCGAATACTACCAGGGCTTTTCGTCAGATCTTAGTGCCTGTGCTTGGACATTTAAGACTAAAATGAGAAAGAATCATGTAGCCAAATCTCACTTGAGAGTGTTCTCATATTTATCTGCAAGCATCACAATTTCTCACAAGTCTGTGAGGGACATCAACTTCCAACAGGCAAGAATACCATGAATGGCTACAACTCCTTTGTTCAATTTGTACATGTCTGTTACAAGTTCCTGAAGCTGGAAACCATGTTGCTTGTGCGTGCTGTGAAACAGGGAATGCTGGGACTAAGTTCAGTTTGATCACCGAAGTGTGATCACTCTCAGGGAAGGCAGGGACACTGCAGGACCTAGAACTCAGCCATTTGACTTCTCCATCAAACATTCCCAGTGATCTACACAGCTCTTGCTTCGTTTTTGTTTTCACATCACCCACCTTCCAGATGCAGCAAGTCCCCTGCCCTACTGGTTCATGTTCCTTAGGATTATTAACAAACACTGGACTTGCCCATTCCTTTCTCATTATTTCATGAATTCCAGTGCTCCTTATCCCTTACCCCAACTATTCATTCTAGTCTATTCTTGGAACTTGATCTCCTCTCATATAAACAAGGCTCCCACTACCATCACATTAATCTGGAAGAAAAGCACTTTCATTAACATCTCATTCCTTCACATTAGAACAAATTCCTTAGGAAAAGATTGGAGCAAACATAGTCCTGACCACATTGTCCACGAATTCCCCAAACTGGGTTACTGTAGTTCCTCAGGACATATACTCCAACCTCTGCACATTGGTTCAGTATCTTCTTTGCATAAGAGGGAATTTCCTTTTCTGTATCTCACCGCATTCTTTCTGTCCTTTAGGAATCTCCTTTTGCAGGAAGCTTTTCTTACCCATTCCAACACAGAACAAAATGCCTTCTGTCAACTGAAATAACCCTTTGCCTTCCATCTTAGTTGGGTTTACAGGTGTCTGTGTGTCTTCTTTGTCCTTAAGAGCCCTCTGTGCTATCTAGTCTTAGACCTCCTATAGAGTGTGGGCTTATAAAATTGATTTTGAAAGTAACCATGAAACTTTCAGGTTGGCATTTTGAGTGTGAATCTCACTAATATGTGAATCAACTAACGATGGTTTTCTCTACCTCTCCATCTCTTGATAGTTGATCATCAAAGCACCTACTTCATAGTTGCAGGATGTAGTATGTTGCTAGTGTTTGTCAATGTCTTGGTGATAGTCTTAAAAGTGTTCTGGATTGAGATTGCTCTGCTCTGGAGAGACATAGTGACACCTTACAAAGCTAGGAATGGTAAGTAGCAAGTTCAAGATTTTCTTCAAAAGAAAAAGCACTTATAGTTACTTTAAATAACTATTAGATGCTTGTCTGTTAATCTTTCAGTAGTTATGCTGCTAAACCCAATTTTCATTTTCTTTGCTAAACTTATCAAGGAGGTTTCAGAGTCTACACAGAGACTGTTTTCCTTGCTGTTTTGTTGAGCTTTGTGGTCCTGAGATTCATCTCAAATATTCTCCCCAGTGGGATAGCTATTCCTACTGACTGCCTGATAACAGACTCTGCCCAAAGCCCAGATCAGTTTCAGTATTTTAGGAAATGTATGTTGGTAAAACTTCATGAGGTAAAACAGCAACAAAATCACTCCTATTAAGGAAGAGCCTCTGAATGCATGCTCATTTTCCCAGAATCCTTGCCCATGAGTAAACATATACACACAGTGTACAAATGTAACAGGATAGTTCTGCCTGCTAAACATGGAAATTACTTGCTTTCATTTGAATCAAACATGTTAGATATTTCTATATAGTGTAGTCAACTAGCAACTAGTTGAGTTGTGGAAAATTCAGGCCCCTTAAGAAATTCCGTTTCCTTGCCATTTAGCATATTGCCTTTAGCATATTGACTTCTTCTGGCGAGTATTACATTTCCCAGTTATCTTTGACTTGGTTTTGCTTTTGGTGGCTTCAGTTACCTAGGGTCATCTGAGGCTAGGCCATATTATATGAGGAACTGATGAAAGACGCAAACATAAGTTTTAAATTGAGCACTATTCTGAGTTGTGTGATGAAACACACTGCCCTGCTCTGTTCCTGAGTCTTGAATTATCCCTTTGTCCAGTGTATCCATGCTGTATATGCTGCCTGCCTGAAAGTCACTGTCTCAGTTAATAGATTGCTGGAATCCTGCAGTGCTTGTAATCAAGTAACCATTATTTTATTTCATAAAGACCACAAAGTGCAAGAGTAGTGATGATGGAAATTTTGTTGCAGTCTGTTGCTCCATTTTATTATTAGCCATGGCTGTCAATCTTTTACTGTGCCCAATTTATAAATTAGACGTTATCTTAGGTATGTATGTGTAGGAGAAAAACATAGCGTACAGGGCTCAGCACTGTCTGTGACTTCAGCATCCCCCGGAGGTCTTGGAATATGCTTTGTGAAAAGATGAGGACTGCTGTATGGAGAACACGAAAGATGGAACAGGCCGGCCAGGCAGAGAAGACAGCCAAGAATGATAAATGCTAACACTTGCTAATCAAGTTTGACCATCTGACTTGAAGTATCCTGGATGGGCTCTCTGTTTTCTATCATTCAAACTAAGACAGTAAAAAGGAGAGTCATTTGGGGCTGAGTTTGTGATTTCGTGGTCCCCTTCGGTGGTGGTGGGTTGTCTGTGTCTTTTGACTTTAGAGTATTTTAGAGGATGAAATACATTCGTCAATAGCCACACAAGCTGATGAGAACTGTCATCAATCAAATGAGCATTTTTAGAAAGTATTGAAATGGTATGTCTTGCTTTTATTTTCAGATGGAAAGCTCTATGATGCATATGTCATATATCCACGGAATTTCCAAAGTCGTTCAGAGGGAGCCAGCTCCATGGAGTACTTTGTTCACCAGATTCTGCCTGATGTTCTTGAAAATAAATGTGGCTACAAATTATGTATTTATGGAAGAGATCTTCTGCCAGGAGAAGGTAAAGCTGCCAGCATACCTTGGGGATAGCCATCCATTTAAAAATCTAGAAAAGAGACCGAGAGAGGGTAATATTAGGTGGTGAGGAAGGATGAACTGGGCAAAGGGGCACTTGGGACATGAAACAGAAAAGGCGTCTGGAGATGGGAGGGTAGAAAATCGCAAGGAACACAAGGTCTCTGTCTATGCTATTTCACATTCATTTCCTCATTTCCAATGACATGAATTCACCACTGCTCTCTAAGAAGATCTTGAGTTGTTTGTTCATGGTTGTGCTTCCTGAATGCATTTTCAGCTTCTGCAATGAGAGTTGGTGTGTCACATTTTTTACTAAGTCCACCAAGTGTTGATTGCTTCATCCTGGCCTGAGTGCTCTATTAAAGCTGGCTTGGGAAAAGAGATTAGACCTTCCTTAGAATTTTTCCAGTATGGACCAAGTCAACTCCCAGAAGAGAGATTATCGGGGTATAAAGTGATTCAGGGCTTCTATAGAGGGACTTTGGTCAGTTCAGTGGGGCAAGGTTTCTTGAATTTGTATTCTTCAATGTGTGAATTAAAGAGAATGTAGATTGTTAGGCCCTAAATCTATAATACAACCTCTCTTCCCAAGATAGAGAGAATGTAAGAGCTAGAGGTGGTAGGTGAATACAAAAACTGTGCTGTCTGGACCCCAGAGGGTAGTTGCACATATGAACACACAGCACTTTGTGACAGCATACACAAACATGTGCAAGCCTAAGCCAGACAAAAACTCAGCATGGAAGGGGGAGGTGGGCAAGGCCAGCCCTAACTGAGGAACAATTGGTAATTGATTGCTGTTGGGAGAAGGAGAGTCAGTTTCTTTAAGGTTTGACATAAGATAGGTTGACCAGGCTCCAGGGGATGGACCCACACCCAAGAGTATTTAGGGAACACAAATTAGACTTGATAAGCTTTTTAAAAGTGATAGAGGACATGAAGTCTGGGGGAGTGGAGATGGAGGAGGGGGTCTGAATATGATCAGAATACATTATATGAAGTTCTCAAAAAAGTAGTAAGTAAATGTCAGAAGAGGACAATAGTCTAGAAAGAAAAATCCAGTGATCTTGAATTCTAAGTCTCTCATGAAATGATGAGCTAGATACCTTCACAATCCCAGGAGCTGAAAAGTCTGTTAATATTCATCTGCATAAACAGAGAGCCCTGGGATGTGTATTCTCATGGTGAAATCAGTAAGTTCATTTCTACCTTCTGAACATGACTCTGTCAGGTAGATTATAGCAATAAGATTCTTATATCCAAAATATTTCTGAGTCAAACATTAGACTTCCTAGAAGATTGATGAGAGGTCTCCGTCCTTTCCTTGAATGCCTAGATGCAGCTACTTCGGTGGAAATCAACATCCGAAAGAGCAGGCGGCACATGTTTATCCTGGCTCCTCATATGAATGACAGCAAGGAGTTTGCCTATGAACAGGAAATCGCCCTTCACAGTGCCCTCATCCAGAATGACTCCAAGGTCATTCTTATTGAAATGGAGGCTCTGCATGAGCCAAGCGAATTACAGATTGGAGATCTTCAAGATTCTCTCCAGCACCTTGTAAAAAAGCAGGGGACCATCAAGTGGAGGGAGGACCACGTGGCTAACAAGTGGTCCCTGAGTTCCAAATTCTGGAAGCACGTGAGGTACCAGATGCCAGTACCAAGCAGACTCCCCAGCATGACTTCCAGAGAGGCTTCTTTGAGTGCCCAGGGGCATGCTTTGGTCCACTAACACATCTGACTTTGTAGACTGACTTCTCAGAGCTGGAGTGTGTCCCAGCAAGGGCACTGGGAGCTGAAGTGTGAGAACTGGGGACATCAAGGGTAGTCAGACCCCAGGTTCCAGCTAACAAAGCTGTTCTGCTTTGCCGATTCTAGGTAGGCTCAGCTCCTCCCCTCTCTCTGCTTTCCTTGGCCTGTTTTATTTCTTTGTGGTGTAAAATCATGTCCCCATCTCTTTTCTCCTCTCTCTTCTACTTCTCTTTATTCTTTTTATTTTTCATCAATAATCTACATTCTGAATAGCAAGTAAAGATCTTAGAATAAAATTCCTGTTCATCTCGAAGTGCATTCGCATCCCCATGAGCAGAACACTGTAAATCACATTCCCAACATGCCAAAATTTCTTTCCTATCTTATTTGGCAATTGCCTTGTTATTCCAATATTGCCACATTTGTTGGACTACTTACTCAAATTTTCATTAAAATCAAACTTTTTTTCAGTTCAAAATTTCTTGTATATATATTTATACTCTTTAGAAATATGCTCTTACTGTAAAAGAGAGATGTATTAAAGAACAGAAAGTATAAAAGAGAAAATAACAAAAATTATTCATAAATCTGTTATCTTAAAATTAACTTTGGTAAGTAACTTTTATTCTGTATTAAAAATAATTCACATTGATGCATACAACTTGTATAGCTGAGATTATTACCATATGGATGTTGCATTTGTCCTGTTTATCACCTTAATGAAAATATGTGGTGTGTCACTAAATTTTTTTCACATTTACAAATATTCAGAATGTCCTAGCTCAGGGTTATACCATAGGGAACAACTGAAACAGCCAGATTAGAAACAAGTCTGCCATGACCACATTAGTATGTCTTCTATCTGTCAACTAAAATAGTTTTGTAGCTATGAGACAACTTAATCTGTAATACTATTACTATGAAATGTGTAGGGAATTTTGACAAGTCAGGGTTATCTTGCAGTCCAAGATCGTCTTACCAGTCTTCTGCAGGAGGACACACATACTTTGGGGACATAGATGTCTGTCAGTGGATCCTGAGCCAAGGGAAGTATCTTACTGGTACCTCAAATTTTGCTAGTGGATATAAATCCTACTGTTGTTGAGCTATTAAATAAATGATCAGATTCCACATCGAAATGGCAATGGATGCAAAAACCAGACAGACCCTTGACAAGGAACATGATGAACTCACAGTCCTCCCTGCCTTTCAGAGTTCTGACTGAGAAGTCATATTTCCTGGAGTTTGTGTAAATGACCTGTAGTAACTTGCCATTCTGGGGACCCTGTACTGTTAATCTACATACTCTGAATGCATTGCTGGATATAATGCAGGACGCAATGAAGTTCAGTTCAAAGGTGAAATTTCATCTGAAGTTGATCTGAAATTCAAATTTGCCCATGCATCCTGTATTTTGTTGCCTGGCCTACTATAGTAGATTCCTGTGCTTTTACGTGTCATCATCAGATTCTACTGAATTTCCAAAAACTGGCCGTGAAAAATATGTTGCATATAGATTGACTCATATCACAGAATGTGGTCATTTTGGATCCACCAGCTCAGTGGCCATGAGTAAGTTCCTTAAGGTTCAAATATTAGTTTCTTTAGGTTAAATGAAACCTAATAATAATAAACACTTTGGATCTTATGTGAGAAAAAAAAGAAGTAATATTTGGACTACAGAAAGAATTCAATAAATAGAAATATATGGACTTATGGAACCTCAATGTGTATCTTGTGAAGTTGATTGTATTCTGTGATTGATCTTAATGAAGACCTCTGAAAATTAAAATTCTCTTCAATCTTATCCCTGGGAATAGATTTCAACCCTGCTTCCTCGCCCACTTAAAATGGTAGGTGTACTTTTTGACTTATGAACACAGGGAATTTTGAAACTTTTTCCTCTTTACATTATTGACTTGAAAGCACAGGGCCAAATTTAAGATCTTTCTACAATGAATTTATAAATGATGATAACATGGAATTGATAATGATTTTGTTCTTGATTCCATAGTATCTTTGTTTTTTATTTTCCCCATAACTTTTCATTTTTAAGATTGTTTAACTCCACATTATAAGCTTCTTTGCAATTATTCAACAAATATTTACAAGTTTTGGAATGTCTCCCTTATACTTCTTTGGAAGGTGGTGTGTGGGAAAGATTAATAAGGGATCTTTTGAGTTAGCTGGCCCTGCTCACATTTGTAGGCCTGGATGCCCACTGTGGAAACTTAGAGCTGAGACCATGGGTAGGTCCAGCTTAGGGGAAATGAACATGACTGTACTCCCCACCCCTACACCTTTCTTTAAACATATATCACTTCCTGTCACCTAAGCCCTTTGGGGCTCAGTTTCTACAACCAGAGAATGAGAGGCTGCAGAAGACAAGCCTTGGGGATTTATTATTTACCCTGGTTCAAATGTGTGGGGACGTCAGAACATCTGGGCTCTTGGATTTTCATACCACATCTCCAACTTCATTTGGTTTGCTCCTTTTTGTGGTCAGAATAACAGATTTACATGAGGTAATGTAAACAAAAGGTCAGTCAAAATTTGTCAATGGCTACCACACAATCATGTTGAAATTATAAAGACACAATTATTTTTGAATCAAATTTGCACACAATAAGAAGTATATGCTGTGTTCAGTTTAATGGGATTTGACAACTGAACATATCTGTGCAGTTCTCGGTCCAGACAAGACTAATATTTCCAACATCTCAGATGGTATCACTGTGATATTACTCAGTCAATCCTTTTCTTCCTCCAGAGGCCAATGATGTTCTGGTTTCTGCTTCCATGGTTTTAGTCTCATCGGATACTGATGCTTATATAAATAGACTTCGATGATGTTTACGGCTACTTCCGCACAGTGTATTTTCCATGTTCACCCGTTTTTTAGTATGAATCAGTTTATGCCTCTGCACTGCTGAGTAGCATTCAACTGTGTGGTGATTTCACTTTGCTTAGCTTGGCTGGATATATGGATTGTTTCTTACTTATAGCTATTATGAATGTGGCTCTCATGAGCGTAACTCTGGACATGTATTTCTTTTTGGTCAATAACCAGGAGCACTCACAGGATAGATGAATGTTTAACTTCTTGAGAAATGAGAACAAATTCTTGCAAACTGTTGTGCCATTTTACATTTCCTGCAGTTCCAGAAAAACGTGCTTGCTTCTCTGGCTTGCCAATAAGTGGTATTGTCAAAATCTTTCTACTTAGTCACTGTAGTCACTGTTAAGTGACTCACTGTGATGTCAGTTCACTGACAATTAGTGGTGCTGAGTCTTCTCCATGCTCTTACTGGCCATGAGTAGATCTCCTTCAGGGAAGGTAAAGATTTTTGGCCTTATGGTTTGGCTATGCAGTGCCACCCCAAATAGCTCCTGTGCTGAAGGCTTGTTCCCCAGCAGGTGGCGATACTGAGAAATGACTGGATTATGTGGGTGCTAAATTCATCAATGGTAAACTGATGAGTTCCTAGCTTGATGAGCTATTAGGAGAAGGGGCCTGTCAGAGGAAGTCAGTGGGAACATGGCTTTTGGACATTATCACCAGCCTCTCTCTCTCTCTCTCTCTCTCTATCTCTCTTTCTCTGTTTTGTGGCTACTAAGAAATGAGCAATTTGTTCAACTATGGGCCCCTGCTGTCGTGCTCTCCTCACAGCCTACAACACCAAGTGACCATGAACTGTAGCCTCCAAACCTGTGAGTCAAAACAAACTTTTCTTTCTTTAAGTTGATTTCTCTGTCAGGTATTTTGTGACAGTGATGGCAAGAAAATACAGAAAGCCCTACCTAAACTGTGTTGTTTCTTTTTATATTGTTGATGTGTAGAACAAATTGTTTATATATTGTGGGTACAAATTCTTGGACAGATAGATGTAGGGTGAGAATATTTTGGGGGCTTATTCATTTTTTAATGGCACCACTGATTTTTAAGGCATTTTATATTTTGATGACATTCAGTTTATCAATTTGTCTTACATGGTAGATGCTTTTTATATCCTAAGACATCTCTGGATTTTTATGACATACTCATGTTCTGGCATTTAGGTCAATTGCGGACTAATATTTGTATATAGAAAGAGAAAATGGCCAACACCCTTTCCCATAGAGTACCCAGCTGTCCCAGCAACAATTACAAATGCGTTCTGTCTATTGAATTGCCACGGTGCCTTGGTCAAAAGTCAATTGACTATTTGTGTGTGGGTCTATCAGTGTTCTTTTTATTTTCCATTTATGTGTTTCTGTATCACCTGTCATGATGATTTTTGCCTTATTATAAACTTTTGAGTCGATGTAAGTCCCCTGACTTCTAAATTATTTGCATTTCACATCTATTAGACAGGCTTTTAATCTCTAAGAAAATTCCACCGAGGATATTAAATATAGGGAATGCATAATATAGAAGTCTCAAATATGTTCTTTGCCAACTGTACTGTGGGTGGAGGAAAGAACGTATCCTAACAATAAGGTCTTTCGACCGATGTGTATGGCACACGGCTCCATTTCCACGGGTCTTCCGTGTCTTGAAGCAATGCTCTAGTTTCCTAGTGGGTATCACGTATCTTCCAAGGACTTACGCTTCCATTTTTAATGCTGCTGTAAATTGACATCCGGAACAAATTTTCTTCTTTAATTTCCATCACAAAGATTGATTTTTCTGTAGTGAACTTGTATCTGATGACCTTGGTTAATTCAAGGTAGTGGGGTTGTTTTGATAGATTTCAAAGGGTGATTCACCCAAAAACGGTCCTTCTGCCAAAACCAGTACTTGCATTCCCTCCTTTCCCAGCTTTACGGTTGTCTGGTGCTCTCCTCTGCAGGGCTCCTTCCTTTCTTCCTCTCTCCAGCTCCTTCCCCTTAAATGCGTGTCTCGCAGCGGGGTGCCAGTGCCGCAAGCCGCAGGTTCACTGTGCCCTCTGCCTGAAGGGTGCGCGCGAGTGGTACCATTGTGCTACCTCCAGACACCGGGGATGGCACAATAACTTCCTAGCTCCCCGGGACACTCCCCTGCCTGCGTGCGATCAAAGGTCCCCTGCCCGGTGGAGGCTGCTCGCCTCAACCGCGGGGAATTTCCGCCCTTTGCTCCCTCTGACTTCAGCTCTTAAAACTGGCGAGTTCGCAGGCGGGGCTCAGTAGGGGAGGAACCGGTACCCGGGTTCGCAGCCAGGAGCACCGGGCATCCGGACCCGAAACCAGGAGTGCCCACGTCGGGGAGCGCGCTAGGCACTGAGCATCCCAAACTGGAATCGCTCGGATTCTCTGGACTTGGAGCTCCTCCCACCTGGGGGCGACGCCACCTGCAGCCCTTGGGTTTTCTTTATCTTACTTTCTATTCTTCCTCTCACCCAAGCCTTTCTTTTTTCCTCCTAGCCCTCCAGAGCTTCCTTATCTCTTTAATCCTGCCCTGCCCGGTGGCACCTGTCTTTTCTTTCTGTTTTCACAGCTGTACAGAGGGAAGGGTTCACTGTTTTCATCTGCTGTCTGAATATGCCTCTGGCTAGACCTAAGTGAAGGAAAGACCACCACCCCGCCCCAGACTGGGGGACGCTCTTCCAAGGTAAGGACAGGCGCCTCCCTCCACACTGCACTCTGTTGCTTGGAGTAGGGGTTCTGACAAGATCAATAGTGTGTGTGTGTGTGTGTGTGTGTGTGTGTGTGTGTGTGTGTGTGTGTAATCAGCGAGACAGCACCACAGTCCTTTGTGGAGAGGTGTGTGCAGCCAAAAGAAGCCCAAAGAAGTGACTTCATTTAAGTGCTTATTTACCTTCTGTTTATTCATTTAATCCTCCTAGGAGCCAAATCAGATAAGGCAGTATCATTAGGCTTAATAATTGGGAAGGGAGCCTCAGAGTGGTTCAGGAATTTATCCAAGGACATTTGTCTAGTAAGTAGTAGATCCCAGATTTACTACATTTTCCTGATTCCAAAATCCTTGCATTTAATCCAAGTTGCTTCCAAAACTTAGAAGCCATAGCATGTGCAGCATGTTATCAGAGCAACTGATGGCTGGACAATTCCAGCCTAAGGTAGATTGGGGATGGCTGTATCAATTTTATTGACTTCCCATGCTCCACGCTTGGGACCCCTGTAAACACCCCTTCTATACCATCTAGGGAACACCTCTGAACCCCTGATGCCTTGGACAGACAAATTTTGGGAGCTGCATTTATGCAGAGTCTGAGGATAGTCTTAACCCCCTCCCCCAAATGTAAGCACAAGGCTGAGAACAACTTCTGATCTAAGCACACAAAATGGAAAAGCAGGGAGACTCCCCTGGGACCACACCAGGAAGTGGAGGCTGGTCCAGGAGTGATGGGTATACTGTGAGGTGGTGTGGCTTGGAGTCCCTCCAATCTGGACAGTGACAGTTGGCAAACTTCCTGGAGAGACCAGCCATTGGGTCACATTGAAGGACTATAAGGTCCTAGAGGTAAGAAGTAGGGAGCTTGGACCCTCTGTGTGGCAGGATCTGCCCAGGCACACTTGGGGAAAAGTGAAGATAATAGCAGCAGATATTTTTATGACAAACATGAGGTGGTGGTGGTTTTCCTGGTCTTACAGATAGGAAACTAAATTTCACACATTCTTTGACTTAGAGCAGAAGTTATGCACATGTTCAAGATCATTTTATGCCACATTGCATTTGGCTATTTCATAACTTGGCAAATGAGTTAAAATACTTCTTTGTTGAACATTGTGAAAAAGGGATTACATGTGAAAAAAAAAATCATGGATGGCCTAGCTCAGTATTAGAGTCTTTGCCTAACCTACCTTCAGCTTCCAGCATAAAAAAAAAAAAAAAAAACCTCACTGGTGTCATGACTTTCATCACACTAGTTGGTCTTGGGGCTTGCACAGGGTTGTTTTTTGATAATGAAAGGCTTACATGAGGCAATCTGTTTACCTGCAAGTCTGTAACTCTCTGTCATCTGGGCTGGGTCATTTCCCCTTCTCTGGTTCCTCACAGAGAAGCTTTGAAGTGGCCTAACATCTATGTGTTTCTGTGAATTGTTTTCTTCTAGAATATGGTCAGTCTCATAGTGAGGACCATAAAAAAGGGACTGGGAAGAACCAGGGACTCAGAACATGGCTACTCAGACACCCTGGAAGAACATCCTGGAAGGGGCCCCTTGCCTTAGGGTACAGAGATATTGATCAACTCATTTCTGGCCTTCTTCCTAGGTTACCAGGCCACATAATCTTTGGAAGATAACTTATTTTCATTTAGAGAAAATCTCAAGCATTGGGTGATTGAGATAAATTTGTGACTATTCTTTATATGCATGTATATACACATGTATGTATGCACGTGAATCAGTTACATTTTAATATTACACACAAAGCACAGGTGTTTCATATATTTATTACTTAAAATGCATTGAATATGAAGTGGGTATATCTAAGAATAATTTCTCTGAGTGTACAGGTGAGTCCTATAGACCTGTGGCTTTCCATTTTTCTGCACACTAGAATCAGTGGGGAGTTCCGAGGACTCAGGAGCCCAGGCTGTATTCTGGCAGCTGGATGATGACCAGGCGATCCTTCTGACGTGATGGAGCCCAGGCTTCATTATCTTTTTTTATCACTTCATGTTATGCTTATTGGGCATCATGTTTGTTAAACCAAACTTTTTAAGATGTCACATTTTTAAAAAATTTTTATTTATTATTTTTATTTTATGTGTATGAGTGTATTGCCTACATATATGTTAGTGCACCAATGTCATGCAATTCCCTCGGAGGTCAGAAGAGGGTGTCGGATCCCCTGGAACTGGAGTTATGAACAGTTGTTAGCCACCATGTTGGTTCTGGGAACCAAACCCAGGTCCTCTGCAAGAATAGTCAGTGCTCTTAACTGCTGAGCCATCTCCCCAGCCACTTAAATGTCATGTTTTAAAAAGAACCTACAGCAATGGTGTCAGCATGCACAGGACCCATGCAAACTCAGGCAGACAAAAACCCAGCATAGAAATGGGGAAATGGATAGCTGACCCCAATCTTAGCTGAAGAAATATCGGTAACTGATTACTGCTGGGTGAGGAAGTGCTGATCTTCCTAAACTAAGGGACTCTAGATAGGCTGGTGAACTTACACTGAATAATGTCTGGGACTCTAACTTGACACAACAGGCTTTAACACAAATGACAGAATTTATGAATTCCAGTGGTGGGGGGCTATGGGAGGGTGCCAGTGGGGAAGGGAATCTAAAGATGATTAAGATTGATTGAGATGTTCTGTATGGAATATACAAAAATTCAATAAAAGCATTAAATAAAAAAGGTAACTAATAAAAAAAGAGTAGCGCATAATGCAGATGTGCCAGTGAATTGAATGATCACTTAGGCTTCCCATCTGTATATATATTTTATGAATCATAAATTCAGCAAATAGTAAACCAGCAAGAAGACATAACTTGACACACGCCAATTAGTAATATTTGCTTGCTATGAATAGATGAGCAGAGGGAGAAAGCAGACAGTGGGCGTGTGCTTGCTTGCATAGATTTGCTCTGGGCAAGTGTGCTGTGCTAGATTTCCACAGAGTGTTCCAGGAGAACCTGTACATTGTAACTGGATGTCAACAAAGTCTAAAGAAAAGACAAGACTATTTAATTAGATAGAGATATAACTCATAGTTACTTTAGAAATCTAAGTTTAATTAGATCCTATAACTTCATGCTAAACAAGAAAATTAAATTTTGGTAATCTTAAAATAAGTTAAATGTAGAAAAATGAAGCTATAAAAGTAAAGAAAATATAAGTCAGCATCTGTTTTACCACCAAGCGGGGGAAAGCAATATCCTACACTTAAAACTGGCGGAAAAAAAAAAAATCACTACACAAAAGAATGTTGATTTAAAGGAATCAGTATTAAATCTTCTGTATGTTAGCACAGCAAAAGAGAAATTAAAAGTAAGCTGAACAAACTGGATAAAGTAACATGCTGGAGAACTGGAGACAAGACTACAGCTTATGAAATGGTTTACAAACATGAAAAAAATAGCTATTATGTGATTAATATTTGTCTCATTCATAATAAAAAGAAAATGCTGATTTAAAACAATAATGAGATGCCATGTTCCCACCAAGACTACCTTGTTAGATTTGAAAACTGAGACTGGGCAGTGCTGTCCTGGGTGTGGTAGAAAGTGTCTTGCACTGTTGAGGGAGACAGTGGAGTGGTTTGAACATTTCTGGAATGTGATTTGGCAGCACGCCTTCCTCATGTATATGGCTCCATCACTGTCCTGCCAATTAGTAGCACCAACAAAATGATAATAAATAAACAAATGATAGTAGCCAACATCTGAATGGTACAGAATAGCACCAATTAATTGCAATTCTCCAGACTTGAGTAGGAATACTTGTAACCACTCCAGGAGGCAGGACCATCATTCCCTTCTGTTGAAAAAGAAATCAGAGTGCAAAGTGACTGAGTGACTTGCCCATGGTTGTTGAGCTGGTAAAGGAAAGAACGAAGACAAATCTGGCCAGTCTGGAACCAGAGGCCGCACTCCAGGTTATTATGTAATGTAGTTTACTGTGGAAGTTATAATACAGTCACATGAAGGAATGGGAGGTGGTAGTTAAAATGGTGTGAACAAAGAGAAAAGGGTGATGTAAGGACGCTTTCCACATACCGTACCAAGTGGAAATGCAGAACGTGAAATTAGATGTCATTGAATTTTTTGATAATATATACCCAAAGTACAAGAAAACATGCAAAAATACTATGCATATCAAGATTGTTTTCTTCATTCAGTCTTCATTTTGTCAATACACTGGGAATACATTGCTTTAAAAATTAGGAAGAAAATAAGAAACATAAAGGTTACAGAGAAACAAAAAATAGATAAAACATAACAAAGAAATCTCTAAAATTTACACATGCAAGAAATATAATATTCCTGTTTCCCTTACATCTACTATATTATTACTTTGCTAGGGTCTCTATGACAGGTTATCTGTAATAACTTCTCTGAGTAGTTATTTATCTGCAAATGAATTTAACACTTAATAAAATGCCAATTTCTTAATCTCACATATAGAATATAAAAGGGACATTAGCACATTAAAACTGTACTATGCACACATTTCCTTATACAGCTCTGTGGATATTAACTATTCTTCATATACTGAGTTTCATGTAAAACTCATAACTTATTAGCATACTGAATAATCTCGTAACTTTATTCCTTGTTAAACCTTGAAAATGGAAAAAAAAAGAGAGAAAAATAGTGGTTTTTGTTTTTTCAAGTCTCTGACTACCTTAACCAGATAAATGGCAAAAGGAAGTTACACTTTTCTTTCTACTCAAGACAAAAAATTAAGACACTTGGTAATCAAAGATGTGTGTGAGTGGGTGACTGGAAGTTTCTAGTCATTCAGTGTTCTGTTTGATTCTTAACAGTTGGTACTTTCCATGAATAAATATCCTTTTTGTTTTTACATTATTCATTATTACTCTTGGAAATGCTACCAGATGTTTGATGACATTATTCATAAGGATTGGCAAACATCTGGCAGCATTATTGTAACACTTTTTCCTGTGATTCCAGAATTAGCATGGGAGGTGAGTGGAGGCTGGGGTATTACTGTAGGGTTAGAAGCTGCCATGCACCCTGAAGTCTTCATTAACATTGATGTTTATAGATGTTGCAATCCCTTGGTGATTCTGGAGGAAGGTTTCTTACCATCTGTGATTTGGTGATGAGCAAACAGACTCTGAGAGTTTTTGCTCAAGGTGCGCAACTCATTGGGTTTTGTCAAAATGGAAGCTGCCATGTTTGTGTGCCCTTGAAACCGGTCTCTTTATGACTTCCTGTGTTCTGCTTGACCAGTATTCTTTTGAGGCAGTGAGGCGGATGCAGTACTGCTTTCAGTAAACAACAGACCTGGGATTATTTGTGAAATATTCAGATTTAGTGAATGGCCTGCATTGAGGAAGAGTGTCTGCTCACTGTCCATTCTGCGCTTTGTTTATAATTAGAAAGGTAAAGTTTGGGCTGTCCTAGGATCAAGTTCAGTGCAGAAAGACCAGTTACCTGGAGTCACAGTCATTGTAAAGGAGGATCATACTAAGTACAGGGAACTGGCCTTTACTTTCTCCATTTCCTAAATGAGAGCTGACCCCTGGCCCACATGTACCTCTCCCTCAGTGACCAATACTGAGTGGTTCCTGTGCTGCAGGTATTGTGCAGGCTTTACTGATGAGCAAAACAGCTTGTTTCTTAGACTTATGAAAGAAACTTATATTCAGAAGAAGAATGTGGATTTAAAAATGTTCGATCTATGGGGCTGGAGAGATGGCTCCACACTGGCTGCTTTTGCTGAGGACCTGGGTTCAGTTCCCAGCACCCACATGGCAGCTTAGAACCTTCTGTAGACCCAGTTCCAGGGGATCTGACACTCTCTTCTGGTCTCCATGGGCATTGCTTGCACACACACACACACACACACACACACACAAACACACACACACACGCACACATGCACACGTGTGTGCACACAGGCAAAACATGAATAACACATAAAATAAAAATAAATAAAATAAAATATTCAATCTATAAATGGAGTTTTAATTACAAAGCACAAGGAGCATTTTGGTGTGAAGGCACACACACACACACACACACACACACACACTGCTATGGTGTGAAGTGTACATGTTCTCTGTCATGTGTTAAAGCTTGAACCCCAGATGCCAATATTGGGGGACTGCAGCACCTTTAAGAGCTGGAGCCTCCTGGGAGGGTATGTAGTTCATTGGGGACATGCTCTTGAGAGAGATAATGGGACATCAGCCCTTCTTCTGCCTCCTTCACTCCCCAGTTGTGATGTGAGCAGTTTTGCTTTGCCACGGGTCCCAGTTGGGATGTGCTGACTCATTACAAATCCCAGAGCAAGAAGACCAGTCAGTCATTATTGACTAAAAGCTCTGGAAGGGTGAGTCAAAGTAAACCTTCTTATTAAGATGATTGCTATCGAGATGGAAATCTCTCTCTCTCTCTCTCTCTCTCTCCCACACCCACACACCCACCCACCCACACATATACCTGCATGTGTGGAATTACTGTTCATACCTTGGTATGCCATGGATTGTTTCCTTGTAGAATTGTAGACTTTTCTAGATGTCCTGTTGCCCTGAACTTTGACCTTTGACCTTGGAGGCAGGATTGAGTGCTCCAAGCTAAAAGACATCAGCTCTATTGTATTAACATTTTTAGGTTTTTTTGGAAGTTAAAATTCATTGCCTTGAAATTTTGTTAACGCTACATGGCTAAAAGTTTGGAGTTTTGGTGGGTATTTTTAAGAGATAGGAAAGCTTTTTGAACTGCTTTTAAAATTTATGAGCCAGAAGAGTTTAAAATATCCTACATACTACTGGCATGCTTTGTCTGGGGGTTTAGGCTTAACCTTGTGTTATTCTTTGTCTAGAGACACTATTTGAAGTGGAATCCTAACCATGTACTGTGAAGAATTATTCCTGATACTTTTGGTTCTTATTGTTAAAAATAAAAATACTTCAGGTAAGTGATTATAAATATTCACAAATATACTTCATTAGAAAACTAGAGGAGAAGATGAAGATTTTGTCTTTATAAACTGCTCTATGCAGTTACTGAAGATGATGAATGTATTAAAATTTGCTGACTTAAAATTTTATTTCAGAAGGGTGAGAAGCACTTGATGTCCCTGACATAGAGAATGGATGATTTTGAGGAATGCTATCAAGTAAAGCTGTACATAGTGTTGTAGAGAGAAACAAGGTCATAAAAACTTAGGTCCCAAAGTAAGCTACATGTAGAAGAAAGTTTGCTACATTTTATTTGAGATAGAAATATATTTATTATGGGTTTTAAACAAATTTGCATGCAATTTCTCTTTCCCAAGGGGACACCAGAAATTTATTCCTTTTAAAAGGAAATTACAAAGTAAGTAAGTGAAAAATAAAGATCTTAAAAAATAACAGTAGGCTGGGTTTGGTGGCACACACCTTTAATCCCAGTACTCAGGAGGCAGAGGCAGGTGGAGCCCTGTGAGATCAAGGCCAATTTGGTCCACAAGTGAGTTCCAGAATGACTGGGGCTCAGGGTGACACTGTCTCAAAAAACAAAACAAAACAAAACAAAACCACACCAAAAATGAGAGGAACTGGTCAGAATAGAGAGCCAAAGTGAGCGTCAAAGCAGGCATCAACATCAATATCTATTTTCATTTACTAATTGTAGTTGCTTGAAGTTTTTCCCCCATTGAAAAGGATTTGGAGGCCCCATTCTTGGAGAGGAGCTTCACAATTAAAGAGCAGGGTCTAACCCAGATCTTGGAGGAGAAAGGAAAGGCAGACTAGTTAATTTACTTTGGGCTGTTGTCCTGGAAAGGGGAACATGGGCATATTCTTTACTTTGGGAATTAGTGCCTATGGGAAAACAGATTGGTTATTGATGCTTTCAAATAATGCATGTCCAATTTTGAGGCATGGTTAAGAAATGGATCCATACCTTGTTGGAATACTAATGTTAAGAATGCTTTTTCTGGGGCTGGAGAGATGGCTCAGCGGTTAAGAACACCAGTTGTTCTTGCAGAAGACCTGGGCTCAAATCCCAGAACCCACATGGCAGCTAACAACTGTCTGTAACTCCGGCTCCAGGGGATCTGACAGCCTCTTCTTGCACGACACGGGTGCACTTACCTACAAGCAGGCAATACACGCATACACATAAAATAAAAATAATAAATAAAATACTTTTAAAAAGAATGCTTTTTCTTTTTCTTTTTTTAAATGCTTTTTCTTTTTTTCTTGGTATCAAATGATTTGTCAGGAACTTCTGAGTGAAAAAGCAAAGTACAGGAAGATGTGAGGCTTGCATCCCACGCTCAGCTGACATGCATCAACCGCCTGCTCCTAGTTACATGGCACACAGTTCTGACACAAAACCAGCTCTATCTCCTGTACGATCGGGGTGCTCAGGTCTCAGTCCTTGTTCTTTAAAGGCTAGGAGAACACCTTTCAGAAATGGGGCACTGTTGCCAGATGCGACAATACTCTATGTGTGGGTTTGTTTAACTTGGAATTAAGTGATGGCCTTCCACATTTCTCTAAATTCAAAACAGTTTCAAACACTGACTTTTATCTCTGGATGAACTGAAATGTGTGTTCTGGCACTTCAAACTCCACACTCATTTCTATAATCAGAGAGCATTCCTAAGAAGCATCACCTGAATCGACAAAGCCAAGTTTGTAATGTTAAACATAAGATCAGGTGTCTGAAGACGTGAAGCTCCTGGGGATTATGAACTTCCAACTCCCTAGCACACTCCATTAGAAACTATGCCTTCCACAGTGGACTCTATTCAAGTAGAAGTTATTTCCAAGGAGGAATTAGTGCATTTGACAATCAAAGCATAGCTATGGATATTTGTAGAAGTTTTTTAAAGATTAATCATAATTTAGAAACCTAGAAAAACTCCAAATGCCCAATAGACAATTTTTCAGTAACCTGGGTCCCCATTATGCATGGAATGAGCAGTCAGATAGCATAATGGGGCACATTGATGGTTCATTCAGAGAAATAGAGGCCACTGTAGACATTGTAGACAGAAGAATCCAGACACAGGAGAGTGTATGCTCTTTGATTTATACACTGTACTATACACACAAGACTGTAAAACAGGAAGATTATTGAAATGTAAAGACTTACTATCGTTTTTGACTGTCAAGTAAAAATCAAAGCATTATTGAACCTTTTATGCTGAGGTCTCAAAATGTAAAATAGAGATTGTATTACAACCACCAAGCATAAAGTTTGTGCCCAATATAATTCTTGCACTGAGGTAAATTTGACATCTATGGTTTCAAAGAGTGTGCCTGTCATTTTAGCCACTTCCGCCTTATGCTGTGGTTAACATTTAGTTAAAGCCAAACTCTTACTTGGAGAAATAATCCCTGACTACAGAGAGAGCATTTTCATTAATGTCATTAAGAAAATCTTCCATTTGGGGCCTGGTGAGTTTGCTTAGTGGTTAAGACCACTGGGTATTCTTGCAGAGGACCTGGGTTCAATTCCCAGTAAGCGCATGGTGGCAAACAACTGTCCATAACTCCAATTCCAGGGGACTCTGATACCCTCTTCCGACTTCCACGAGCATTGCATGACGTGGGTGAACTTACACACATTGAGGCAATACACTCATACACATGAAATAAAAATAATAAATGAAATACTAAAAAAGAAAAAATTCCATTTAATTAAAATAATGTCATTCTTTAAATGTAGTTTAAAAGCATCTTAGATCGAGATGGTGCTTTGTATGAGAAATGTTCAATGGTACCAATTTTGAACTCCTAGAAGTGCAATGCTCATGGATTGAAGGCCTGCTCTGTGTAGATGCAGATTAGATTTCCAAAGCCAGGGCATCTGGGCTGAGAAACAGGGAGACACGAAGAAAAAGAGACCCTGGGTTTGGGGTGATCTGTGTTAACCGATTCTTGGTTACTCACATGGTAACCTGCAGCAGGCCCTTAGCTACCTGAGAAAGCTATTAGCCCTCCCCACACTTGCCCAGAGATGGGTACATAGAAATGCATTGAAGAAAGGTGAGGCTTGTGAGGATGCAGATGAGGAACTCCCAGATCTCCAAGTTTCTTGTCTTTTCCATGGTGACTTCTCACTGGGGTCCTTTTGGGGTAGACATGGAAATACTGTGACTTCTGTGGTTTCGTTATCAGTGAGTAATAAAGCATCGTACCTTTATAACATGACACTGCACACTATCTTCTGGCTATGGCTGGTAAGTGCTTACACCTTTCTGTTTAGGGGAAGCTATCAGAAGCTTCACATTCATCTTTGATATAAAATATCTTATTTTTTCTAGTGTCTGATGTTGAGATTTCTGGGAGCTTTCTATTTGACCTTGCTTCTTCTAATGCATTAGGAGAGGGGATCATCTGTTTTGTGTTTTCCTTTTCCATGGTTAATCTGTAGAAGAAAAGTGCACTTCCCTCCACCATATTAATGTGCTAGAAGGGGAACCTTTCCATTTGAAACCTTGCGACATATCTCCATCCTCACACAAGAATGAAGCGCTCACCATAAAATGGTCCAAAATGAATACTTTACATGACCGCATAGAGTTGGATACCAGCAGTTCTCCCAGAATTACTTCACAAGGCTATTCTTTGGAGTTCTGGCCAGTTCAGTTGGATGATGAGGGGACATACTTTTCCCAAGTGGGGTGAGTAAACCATTTTGTTTCAATTTATTTCATAGCATTCCCGACCTTCATTCAGCAACTCAAATACACAGGAATAAGTCAGCTCATCCAGTCCGTACATTTTTTTCTCTCCTGTTCTTCCTTCAACAGAAAAGAACTTTTCGTTGTTGAAAATTAAACTAATCACTCTGTTTATCTTCTTAGTATTCTTAATGAAGGACTACCTTAATAACATTTCTTTTTAGGGCACTCTTGTTAATAATTCAGGTCAGTTTTGAAGTTCAGTGGCTAGGATTTCTTAACTATATGGCAGATAACAAAGAAGGGACGGGGCAGCCTCACTGTGGCCTCCTCAGACCACAGAGAAAGAGTGGGATTTATGGGCACACACCCTAGTTTAGTTTAGTTTAGTTTTCAGGGGTTAGTGGAGAAGGTATATATTTGGTAATCATCTACAAATTAACAGCCAAGGTCAATGAGAGGGGTAGCCCAGAGGAAGCCTCAGAGGATGCTAGGACTCTTAAAATTGGGAAGTGCAATTACTAAGAAATGACATCAGCCAACTGAATGTGTTAACCGCAATTACTGAACTTGGTTCCTTTGCAGGAACCTACACATAAATACACACACACACACACACACACACACACACACACACATATATACACAGATGCATGTAGGCATGCAAATATATGCATTTTTATAAAGATTTGAGTAGGGCCCATACAAAGTAGCCCAGGGCTAGTTGGGTGTGATGTTGTGCTGTGAGATGCAGTAGATTTCTTCTAGACATCTGTCTTCACACAGAGTGAGTCCTGATCATTATCGGTGCACCTGTGAGAGCAGAGTGAGATTTCACAGCAAAGCCTCTGTTTTCACTCCTGTGGTTTTTCACAAAATGGGGTCACAGTTTTTTATTATGCATAGAAACTCCTAAGAGTCTGAAAGAATACAATACATTTTATATGAGATTTTAAGAGAAATAGTTGCATAAATGGGTCACACTGGATCCCTTTATAGCAAATTAAAGAATGAAGAGTGTAGAGGACAGGAACAACCTGTGTCCCCACCCACCCTGATTACATACAAACTGGCTTAAATGAACAAGGCATTCTGGACAGGGAAGAAAGAGACAGTTGAGGGGAAGGGCCAGGATCTATGATCATCTTGGGGAGAAGATGGAGACAGAAGGTGTTTGTCATCTTTTCCATATGGAGGGCAGAAAACACAGCCTGGGTTAGGAAGCAACCAGCAAGTCCATCAGACTGAGGGATGATGACAGAGCAACCTCGAGACATGGGGAGGGGGCAGGGAAATAATGTGGCTCAAGAGGCTTTGGACACAAACGCTGAAGTCTATTGCAGGCTGCTAAGTAATGTGAGCGTGAAGTGCTCATAAAGAAGCAGATGTGTGGGCTGGAGAGATGGCTCAGTGGTTAAGAGCACTGGCTGCTCTTGCAGAGGACCCGGGTTCAGTTCCCAGCACCCATATGGTATCTAACAACCATCCCTAACTCTAGTTCCAAGGAATCCAGTGTCCTCTTTTGGCCTCCACAGGCATTGAGCACATGTAGTGCACTTACATGTATGCAGGCAAAACATACACATAAAGTAAAAATATACAAATAAAAAATTTTAAGTCTGAATTTTTTGATTTATTTATTTTTATTTTTTGATCACCTGGAAATGGAGTTATGGACGGTTGGTTGTTAGGTGCCATGTGGGTGCTGGGATTCAAACCTGGGCTTTCTGCAAGAACAACCAGTACTTTTAAGCTTTAAAGTGAGCTCTCTCTCTCTCTCTCTCTCTCTCTCTCTCTCTCAGCCCTATGTGACCTTAAGTAAGTTCTTTAGTAACTCTGAGACTTAGCTTTCTCATTTGAACATGAGGGAAATACTCATCTTCCTGGCACACACCTAGTACAATATCTTGTAGTCAGTGAGCAAAAGACTGCCTTGTTCTCTTCTGTCCAGCCTATTGTAGACTTAAAGAGGACTGAGAGGATCTAAGTGGGCACACATTTCTCAGGCATACAGGTCAACTTAACAACACATGCCCATTGGTTTTAGGATATGAATCAATATATCACATGCACAGTGTAAGCAAATATCCAATTGCAAATATTTTTTCTTTTAAAAATACTGTCGCTGTTATTGAATATGTCAATGCTGTTGTAATAAAATGCTTCTTCTAAGTATGTGGTTATTAAATAAATAATTAACTGGAAAAAATAAATAAAAATACTGTCGCTTAAAAGTACTATTTTTGGCTGGGCATGGTGGCACATGCCTTTCATCCCAGCACTTGGGAAGCAGAGGCAGGCGGATCTCTGTGAGTTCAAGGCCAGCCTGGTCTACATAGTAAGTTCCAGGACAGCTGGGGCTACAGAGAGACCCTGTCTCAAAAAGACCAAAAAAAAAAAAAAAACCAAAACAAAACAAAAAAAAAACCCCTATTTTTCTCCATCTCCTAGATTACTATTTTCTGACAGAAGGAATAACATCTATAAAAGATTCAAATTCACTTTTGTTTAGTTGTTTAAGTTGAGTTGTTTTGTTTAGTTGTTAAGCTGTGTCAAATTCCATTTATGCAACAGTAAGAAAAAAATGATTGAAATAAACTGCCTTGAGGGGGAAAAAAAACAGTAAAAATACACACACATTCAGAGAACGAGATTGGGAGCTTATTTACAGATCTTTGAAAAACCAAGGCTACCCTTCTATCCTGGTCTATGAATCTCTGATCTTATCCACCACCAAAGAAAACTGAAGTGCAAACATTTGTTTCTCTGATAACCATAGGCCAACTCTGTGTATGATATGTATGAGTGATGTGAATAGTGAGTATGTGTTTTATGTGTGCTGTGTGTGTTGTATGTGTATGTGTACATGAAGTATGTGTGTGGTATATGGTATGTGTGTGTGTGCATGTGGTGTCTGTGGTGTGTGTGTGTGTGAAGTATGGTATGTGTGTATGTAGTGTATATGCATGTGTTGTTTATGGTGTGTTTGTGGTATATGTGACATGTGTGGTGTATGGTATGTGTGTATGTGGTGTATGGCACAGTGTATGTGGTGTGTGTGCATGTGTTGTGCATGCAGTGTGTTGTATGTGTGTGTGTGTGTAATCTTTCACCTGATGACAGTTGTTAAATTTCTGCTCCGAACCAAGAGCTCTGCAACATCAGTGAATAAATCTCTTTATATGGAAAATATGAAAAATTATTGAATTAGTTACTACAGGGATGATTGAAGGTAGTTGCAAAATCTTTACAGTAATTTAAAAATCCCTCTAAACCTTTGTTTCACAGAAATGATGAACAAAATTGGACCTTAACTGTCATCAAAAGAAACGAACACAGCTGTTTTTCTGGAAAACTTGTATACAGCAGAAAGGTGGAATCTAAAAAACTTTTGCATATACCCTGTGAAGATAGTTACTATCAGAAACTGATCAACAGCACATCACTGTATAAGGTAACACTTTCACAATATTTCCACTTAAGACTCGATAGGAAAGATGACATTCCAAACAGATGCTAGAAGGGCAGTGGGCCATTTTGATCTCACCTAAACAAGTGGTCTAACCCACTATGACTCATTTGGTCTGTCTGAGACATCATCATCCCCATGTGATTATTCTAAGAACTAATTTCTGCAATGTACGTAGCGTGGTGGCCACCCAGTGTTCTAGTAGGTAGTTCAGTAAATGACAACAGCATCCCACTCTGCCCTTCCTCCATTTTCTTTCTCTTTTAATAAACCAGTTTTTTAAAAAGTTTTATTATTTATTTATTTATTTATTCATTTATTATGTGTATGAGTATTTTGCCTGCATGCATGTAAGTGCACTCATATCATGCAGTGCCCATGGAAACTAGAGGAGGGTGTTGGAGCCCCTGGAACTGGAATTGTAGAAAGTTGCTAGCTGCCATGTGGGTGTTGGGAATCAAACCCTGGTCCTCTGGAACAGCAGCCCCTTAATAAACCAGTTTTGAGGAATACTAGTTTAAGGTTTTAAATTTTATTTTTGTCACACATATTTAAAAATTGAAACTTAAATTTGCATGTAGTTTCTGAATATATTAGATTATTTTATGAAGCAAGAAGAGAGAAATGAAGAAAGTGAAATCACTCATAATCCCTTAGTCATGTTTGCTTCTTCTAAGCATCCATTTTTAAAAGTGGTTGGATTGCTTGTGCATTTCTTTTACTAATTACAAATATGTAATTCTTCTGCATCTTTAAACATTTTTCTTTCAAACGGGGATTCTATTTTGTATGGATTGGGTTTAAACTAACTGATCCCATTGTTATTAGACACTTGTGAATTTCCTGTTCTCTTATTATTTCTAGGCTAAAACAAATAGCATTTCCATAATGGATATTTAAATGATTTGTTCTTTAAGTAAATTCCTAAATGTTAAATTACTGGACCAAAGAGGGGCTAATAGTGTGCTCCTGGCTCTTAACCCATATCATCCAGCTTGTTTCCGGGGCTCTGCTCATGGGAAGCCCCACACTCTACTTCTCTCCTTTACAGTTCCCTAACATGGGAAATAATACCTTCAGAAAGTTAAAAATATGACACATCAAATTTCTGAACTTCACTGTTTCTTGCTCAGTGCTTTCTTAGTAGCTAAAATTTAAATATGTTTCTGCATCTTCATAGTAGTTCTTTGGTGGATTGCCTGTTTGTCTTCTTCAGTTAGCAACCCTTTTTATTATTAGGTTATAAGAGCTCTTTTGAAAAATGCTATGGAGATTATGTTTACATTTGTTTGTCTCCTATGTTTAGTGTGTACAAAGTGTGTATGGTCACATTCCTGCGCACACACAACACGAGCTCTTTCATGTTGATGGAAGAATGAAGCTGACCCGCCTGACTTGATCAGGAAAGTGAAACACTGTGGGATTGGGTGGCCTGAACAGGGGAACTCTGGAAAATTAAAGGCACTAATGATTTCCTTGAAATCCCTTTGGACCTTTTGCTGCAACGCTGTTTACACACAATTTTTCTAGGGGACTTCTTATCTGAAATGTTTTCTAAACACATGAGTCAGTCCTGAGGTGACTTGCCTCTTTTTTTTTTTTCCAGTCAACTGTACACATCTTACAGTACATGTAAATGAGTGAGGTTCAATGTCCTGAATTTTAAGAAGTTTCAATACACAGATACCCCAATTTAGAAAACGTATATCCTGGGGATGGTTTTAGCTAAACAGCTGACTGCAGGACTAAGTATTCCCAGCCTGTGTTGTTTGTGACTCTCCTGAGGGGAAGGGCATACAGCAGCTGAATCAGAAAGGGGCTGAAAAATGAATATCTGCCATTTTATAAATGTTGGAAATAATTCATTTGAGTTTATAAAATTTTACTTATTCAGAAACACTTTTCTGATGTGAAGTACACACGGGCACTTGGCAGATCCATTCTGGTCCCCATATTGTTTAGCCCCAGGTGCCACCAAGCACTGACCAGCTTGAGGCAGAGTTCTGTGGCATTAGGCCATCCTTGTCTGGAATGTGAAAGAAGTGTCACATGGCCAAGATTAATCATATACTCCCTTTCCTTTTCCATGAACTTTTCATGGCTCTCCAGTAGGTAGCTGATAGCTGGTTTGAAGAGGGTAGCTTTATTATTGTTATTACTCATTAATGTATATATATATATATATATACTATATACCACAAATCAGGATAAGTAGCATATCTATCATCTCTTCCATCTTCCAACGATTATTTATTTGTATTGGGAGCACTCAAAATCCTCTCTTGCACTATGTTAAACTATACAATGTGAGAGAGAGAGAGAGAGAGCGATTGCCAATATGCAGAATCAGGCCAAAGTAGAATTGTGTTTGTGGGAAGTCTTGACCTAAGCAGGAACTTTTTGTTGTGACTCTGTCCCTGTCTCTCTGTCTCTGTCTCTCTGTGTATGTGTGTGTGAACAACATGTTAAAATAAAATGCTGGCATGGTGATAAGGCCCCTCTCCTCTGTCTCCCAGCCTGTGTTAGTGGTAGTGATAATAACAGTTCCAGCAGCTCACTGCTCCAGTAGAAACAATGGCAAGTCACAGACATTTATTTAGGAATTGCTGGCCTTCGTTCTGTTTCCTGTTATCTCTAAAGATCTTAAGCTTTAAAAATGTGAATTATTGCAACATGAATACTGCCTTTATTGATATGAATACTTATGAATACTGCCTGTATTTTAACTTGCTTTAAAAAAAACAGAACTGTAAGAAGATATCCCCACTGAAGAAGAACGCTGATCCTGGGGACCAGGGATATTACTCCTGTGTGCTTTCCATCCATCATAATGGAAAACAGTACAACCTCACCAAGACCTTCAATATTACAATAGTTGAAGGTAAGAGAAAGCCTAGACTTTGGAAGGAGCAAACACATATTACCAAAGCAAACCTTTCTCTTCTTGTAACATTACTTGGAAATGAAGAGGCTACCTCACTGGGCTTGTGAATACATTACTTCTTCAAATCTTAGGTTTAAAATCTTGCTGGGTATGGTGGTGCATGCCTTTAATCCCGGTGCTTGAGATGCAGAGGCAGGCAGATCTCTGTGAGACTGAGGTCAGCCTGGTCTACATAGTAAGTTCCAGGCCAGCTGGGACACAGAGAGACCCTTCCTCACAAAGAAAAAAATGTTAATGTTGGACTCTCATCCAACACCTGGCTGGAAACCCTTATCTTGGCAGCAAATGAAAGTTTGCATGGTTGATCACATAAGTCAGATTGCTCTTATTTAGATTTTGAGTAAACTGTAGACTCTTTTCATTTCGACTCAACAAATATTTATAGTGGACACAAATATTTATTGAGAACATCTATATTCAATAGACCATACTTAGTATCAGGGGTAAGAGATACAGGGAAAATAGAGTGGAGCAAATAATACACTATTCTCAGGGAATTTTCTACTGATCTGGAGAGAATAGCCACATAGAGCTGCCACCATGCGAAAGAGAGTTGTCTGAGCAGATGTGATCTTGGAAGGACAATATCATAGATATATACATGTGTGCATACCCTTTCATTTCATATAAATAGCTGATTCTTTGGTTCTTTGGTACCTCTCCTTTCTCATGCCTGTCTTTGCTGCTTTCCTGTTTCTTCCTTGAAACAGGAATGATTAGACTGAACACCCAAGGATGGCACCCTCTGCCCTAGCGGGAGCATCTCATACCTCCTTCCCAATAGTTTGTGAGGTTGTGACTTTGACTGAGTTATGACTTAGCTTCTCTCTACCTCAAGTTCACCTCAGTACAAGGGTCAGTGATGGCTTTCGGTACACAGTGGTTATCCACTCACTGTCTTAGGCTGCAAACAGTAGCAGAATGGAAGCTTCTAGACAAGGATTTCCTTCCTAAGTACTCTTGGATGAATGCTAAGGGGAAGGAGGTTATATCCTTTTGGTAGGGTCAGAAATCACTAGAAATAGTAATAGTGCTGGGCTTCCAGGTGAGCACACAGTGGCGGGGTTGGGCTGAGTCAGGTCAGGTATTCATGACAAGATGTTGGTAAGATTTGGCATCCTCAAGACTACACCAGCACCTGGGAGGGGTGCCTCACTTGGTTCGCCTAGCCATGTTATGTTCTGTGAAAACCCATCAGTGAGGACTGGAGGTCAGACGAGGGAATCAGTGCAGAGCAGGAAGGCACTCCCCATGACTGTCATCCACGTCCTGCATATTAAGTCCTCTCCGTGGCCGGCAGAGAACATCTTTCTCTGACTTCATGGTCACTGAGCAGAAGCCAGTATTCAACTTGAGTGGATACTATATGGAAGGTGCTGTCAGCAGCTCTGCGAGGGTGCGATTTACAGAAAATGAAGCATCAATTATGTGAGCTGGGTAAACAGTAGATGTATGACACAAGTAAGTGTACAAGAAGGACTGCAGTTATCTCCCTTATCTACAGATACCTCCCAAGATAAATGGAGACCTGAAACCATAGCTAGTACCAACCCTGATACAGGCTATGTTTTTTTCCTATACATACATGCCATTAATGAAATTTAGTTTAGAAATTAGGCATAAATGATTAACAGCAACAGCTAATAATAAAATGGAACAATTGTACATTGCTGAAACACATTGCCAGTGTCAGGACTTTGATGCTCTGGGATCATGATGAAATAGGAAAGTGTTATTACAACACAAGCACCATGACAGTCTGCAGAGTATACACACAGCACAAATTCACTGAACAAAGGGATAATTCGTGTCCTGTTTTGGATGGAAGAGGAGGGAAAACAGAATACAATTTAAACTTACATATAATTTAAAACCTATGAGTTGACTCTTTAGAGATTTTTCTATTTAATATTTTTGGGCCACAGTTAACGAGTAGTAACGTCAACTGCAGGAAATATAATCACGGTTAAGGGGGAGCTACTGTAGTGGAAGCTTTGTCACACGACATAAGCATATTACAATAGATGTGTGTCTAAGAGAAATTTGAGAAAATTTCTCAAATTTCAAAAAATGCTAATTTTTTTCTTTTTTCACTTTAGGTCACAATAATATAATTCCAGTTCTTTTGGGACCAAAGCTTGAGCACACTGAAGTGGAATTGGGTTCGTTCCAGCACGTTTCCTACATTTATAAACAGGGGGTATAACTGAATTTTCAAAGCCTAAATCTGGTTCATTACCGATACCTATTACATACTATTGAAGAACATTACAAAATCAGAAAAAATGTCATTGTTTGATTATTGACACTTTTAGACCAATTAAATGAGCCTTCTCTTCAAAAGACAGGAAACTTGTCTGTGATTTGAGGAATAGGTTTTCTGCCACATAACATGTGACTTTTCTCTAATAGTCCCCATGGTCCTTTGAAAACATGGAAATTTGGTGATGAAACCCTACAGAGATGATTCAGACTTATTTTGTAGTTTGACTATTTGGCCAATGGATGGAATTGATTGTACGTTTAGGATTTGTCTAGATGGATCTTGAAATCAGTATGTCCAACTGGGTAATTTCTTTCAAAAAACAAAAGGAAAGAAGTGAAATAAAATTGCATATGCTAAACCAGGTTTTGGGCTAAGGAACTGGAGAAGTTTGAATTAAATTCTCTAACCAAAGCAGAGGGGCATAGTCTCCTTGGATTAAATAGCTAACACACAAGCTAAATAACTCATAGATTATCTCAGCCTGCTCAGAACTGGGATAGATGGGACACAGGTTTGCTACATCCAATCTGCCTGGCATTTAAATAAAACTCTCTGTGTTGGAAGAGAATACTGTAGTCATGTTGGCTACAAACCTTTACTGCTAGTGCACAGCTTCTTAAAGTGTGAATTTTGACCCCATATGGGACTGTGTAAGTGAATGTGGACGTCATGAAAAGTCTGCCAAAAGGAAAAGGTTTCTGAGTGCACAATGACAGAGAGTTCCAAATCAAAGACAGGAGGAATCCAAGGTGTTTCAGACTGTGCTCTCTTGAGTTGTATTGCACAGTTTCACTACAGCCTTGATTCTGAACATGGGACATGCATGCTTCCACTGAGCATGCCATCACATAAGGCAGCACCATCGGAAGTTGCCTGACACCCCTTACCCCAGCTTCAAGACAGTTCTGTGTTAGGAGCTGCGGTGTTTCCCTGCGTACACAAAGGTTTCTGCTCCTATGGAAGTGCAATGGTCTAATTACAGAAAACAGAGACTTTTAGTATTTTCCTCCTGTCATTCATCAGTATGTATCAAATTATCATATCTTTGGATTGTGTTGTATTAGAATGTCTGATTTTAAAACTTATTGTTTAAATTGCTGATGAGTTTTATGTTTAAAAATTGTTAAATGAATTTTAGCTTGGGATCAGGATAGAATTTCTAACAATTTCTGAAATGGCTCTAAACCTATTTCTGCCATTTTGTACTCATATTTTTTAAGCAAAGTGGTCTCAGCTTTGATGAGTATAAGATCAAAATATCAATTCTAAACAACACTGAAGAGGCTATGCATGCTGTAGTATCAAATAGTTAACCAAGATTTAACTCTTTATGTAAAAATATGCAAGAATGTCCATCTCAGCATGTAGTTTTGTTTTTTTTATTTTTTTGATTTATTTATTTTTATGTGTTTGAGTGTATTACCTGCATATATGTAAGTGCACCCATGTCATGCAATGCCCCTGGAGGTCAGAAGAGGGCACTGGATTTACAGACTGTTGCTAGCCCCATGTGGATGCTGGGACCTGAACCCAGGCCTTCTGGAAGAGCAGTCAGTGCTCTTAACTGCTGAACCATCTTTCCAGCCCCAGCACACACTTCTTGTAAAAATAAACAAGCATATCCATCTTATTAGCATGCAAATTTGGTTTTGTCTTTAATAAATGGTAAAATTATATGTCTATCAAAGAATTGCTTTAAATTAGTTTATGTTTTCTTTTCTGTCAATGCTTGATTTGTATCCCTATTTTATAAACCCATATACCGAGGTCACACAAAAATGTCTTGGGTGCAAAGGGGTCATGAGTGGAGAAAGTTTAAGGCATTCTGTCCTGGTGGCACTTGCTCTCCTGAGGACCACGAGGCCACAGGAGACATCATAATGTCTCAGCAGCCTTGTGCTGCCTAACTCCTAAGTTCTATTCCCATATTTGCTGGCAGCTACACAGCTGCCAGTAATAGCACTGGACTGGACTCTTTATGAGATCCTGCTTGTTTTAAACTCAGGATATTCCCTAGGGAATAAAATGACTGATCATCTTTCCTCACCCTGGAAGGGATCTTTTCTAACTCTATACTTTTAGTTTTACTATATCTCTGCATTATCCCTGTACTTCAGTGCCTTTACTTTTTAAGTGTCTTGGTTTGTATGATAAATCCATTTTATTTTCCTAGAAGTCGAAGTGAGACATTGGCTTAGCACTGTCTACTAAACTGTAGACTGAAAAGAAAATCTACTTTCCCTGAATTTTAATAATTGATTTTAATAATTGGTTTAACAGTGAATATTCACTTGGCAATGACTTGTCATTGTTACATAATACTTTAGTATACTTTTTTTTTTTTTTTGGTCTTTTTGAAGCAGGGTCTCCCTGTAAGCCCCAGCTGTCCTGGAACTCACTATGTAGACAAGGCTGGCCTTGAACTCACAGAGATCCGTCTGCCTCTGCCTCCCAAGTGCTGGGACTACACACCCCACTATTATACTTTTAAATTTTAAAAACAAAGCATTTCTGCTCTCTTTCTGGATGTAGTACTTTGTTTTCTATTAATTATCATGCATTTATTATGCTAATTTGACACTTTTGGGAAATTGGAGTTTCTAAAAGCAAAACTGTGGTTGTCACCTTTTACCTAGGAAAAGACGTGGAGCTCAACTGTTCGGCTTTGCTGAATGAACATGATAAGTTTTATTGGAACATCATTAAAAATGACAGCCTATATCCTAATGTACATGAAGACAAAAATGTGACAACGTGGTATGTATCTGATATATAAGAGGTAGAGTGATACATGCTATAAAAATCATACTATATGTATACAATACAAAGGAAATTGGTCACCTGAGTGGGTTGGTTCACATTATAATTATTGCTTGTTTTATCATTTCAATTGCCACACTCCAAGGTAGACTGATGATACAGAAATTTGTTGTACAGATCTATGCTTGAAAAAGGAGATCCATGAGAAGGCCCATGAGGATTTTTAGCATCACCTCATAAAAATAGCTTTTAGTTAGGAGCTGGGCCCTGGGAGGTGTTTCACTTGGTTTCTTTGAAAAGAGCAATCAATAGGGCTGGAGAGGGCTCAGTGGTTAAGTGCACTGGCTGACCTTCTAGAGGACCAGGTTTGGTTCCCAGCACCCATATGGTGGCAAACAACCATCTTTAACTTCAGTTTCAGGGGGTCAGATGCCCTCTTCTGACTTCTGTGGGCATTGCACCACACAGATGCACTTACACGTGTGCAGGCAATATACTCATACGCATAAAAAAATAAAAAAAATTAAAAAAAAATAAGCACTCAAATAGGTCAAGGTTTCTTGGATTTTGAAAAATCTGTTAAGTGCTTTGTTTTTATTAATAAAATTTATTTTTACTTTGTATTTTGGGGTTTTCTTTTGAGACAGCGTCACTGGTAGCTGGCCGTGATCTCACAGAGATCTGCCTGCCTCTGAGTCCTGGGATTAAAGGTGTATGTGACCACACCTAGTATTTTTTATTTTTAATTTTGTGCATATGTGTGCATGTATGTATAGGTATGTGCACATATGAGTGTGGGCGCCTGCCCTCTCAGGAACTGTGCATAGAATCCCCTGGAGCTGAAGTTTCAGGTGGTTATGAGCTGTCCAATATCAGAGCTGGGAACTGAACTTGAGTCCTCTGCAAGAGCAGCAAGTATTCTTAACCTCTGAGCCATCTCTCCAGCTCCTGGCCCGATTTATTAAAACAGTATACAGATGACCCTTTAAACTTTCTGAATGACATTGAGTAATGATGCAATTATTATGTTGGCACACTACTCAGGGTCTAAGTCTAGGCAGTTGCAATCTTAAAGTATCTATCTTCTTAACTTCAGTTTTTTTAAAAAAATTCCTGTCTTTTAGATTTCCTTTTGTGGTTTTTGCTTTTTGTTTTGTCTGTTGTTTTGGATTGTCATTTTTGTTTTGATAGCAGCCTTTAATTCTTACTGACAGTTGTCTCTGAGTTCTTTATGCTGCAAAGTCTGGCTCTTTGAGAGCAGGTACATGATTAAGCCCAGTTAATATTGAATTCAGCCAAATTGTGTGGCTCTTTGGTAACATCTCTTATTCTCAACAATATACCCTCTGATCTCTGAATGACCTTTTGCATCAAATTCTGAAAGTCTGTAACTTTAGATAGTTGATATTTCTGGATGGGTGACTTTTGTATAGGATTATGTTCTAAAATACAGTAAAGAGAGGTGGAGGCTTTTGTGTGTTCAATGTCCTATGTGCTAAGGACACCTGTTGCTAGATATGTAGGCACACAGGACCACTAGGTCTGACATGGTCATGACATTTGCTTCACAGCAGCAAGAGGACAACTGGACCCCTCTGAGGGTGAGAAAGAGAGCTGCCTGTGGTTATCTCACATTGCTTTCTGAAGCTCGAAGCTTGGTGAATAGCTTAAATGGTGTTCCTCATGGGCCTGAGACTTCTGAGACTAGTGATATATTTAATGCCTAACTAAAAAAATAGTCTTCAGATTGGTATAGACACATTGGACACAGATCTATGTCTATTTATTTATTATTTTATTTTTATGTTATGTGTGGGTGTTTTGCCTGCATATGTGTAAGTGCACCACATGCATGCAATGACCACAGAGGCCTGAAGAGGGCATCAGAGCCCCTGGAACTGGAGTTGTGGGTGGTTGTTAGCTGCCATATAGGAGTTGGGAACCAAGCCCAGGTCCTCTGCAAGAGTGGCCAGTGCTCTAACTGCTGAGCAACTCCCTAGCCCTATTTTACGTCTATTCTAAGCAATTTACAGTTGATGCAGTTGGAATGTGATTTGTCTATCACCTGAACCCCTACAATACTATAAACCCTAAAGACTTTTGAACAATATGAAGAAAAGATTTAACCAGCTCTGACATCTAAGGCGGGGTCTTTGAAGTGATTCAGTTGTATTAGATCATTAGTAGGGTCTCCATGGATTCTGGTGATTTTATAAGCAGGGGGAGAGAGAGAGAGACCATGTATAAACATGCACATGCTTCTGCCATGATGTGGTGCTGCTCAGGGGCCCTCCAAAGTCCATGCCATACCATTTGAACTGTGAACTAAACAAACCTCTTTTCTTTATAGAGTAGGGCTACACCAAATATTTAATTATAACAATGAAAGATACCTTGCTACAGTTAGTGGATACCACAGTGTGGGAGGAATTTCAAGTAATTAGGAGAGGGGAAACAGGAGAGAGAGAGAGAGAGAGAGAGAGAGAGAGAGAGAGAGAGA